GACACCGTTGTTGTTTAATTTGTTAACTTTAACTTTTGTTAACAAAGAATACATGTAAAAAATAATAATAATAACAATAATAAAATGATCTCATAATTATGAGATTGTATTTCATAATGAGATACTATCTCGTAATCATGAGATTTCTTTTTTGTTTTTATTTTGTTTTTACACATTTTTTTGTTTGATTTTGGAGTGACAACAATTCTCTTCCGTATTTCCCAACCCTGTTTTATAGGGTTGATTATATGTTTGGCTTAATGGGCTTAAAACATAATTCCCAAAACGGTGACAATATCAATAGGATATTGAGCCTTCAGGTATATTAATTCATGTATATCTGAACACAAAATCAAACGTGTCAAAATTCAGAACAAAATGTCACATTTTATTTTTCAAGTGCAATAAAAATACCGTCATCATAAAATGTACAAAACACATGGTCTTAGCGAATAAATACATACAAAATAAATATATAAATACATAAATAATCCATATTAAATAAATATCCCGTATGTAATAACTTAAATAAATATGCAGTGGTAGGTAATGGTGTTTTTAAGAGGTAGCCAGAAGGTAGACTCTGTGGAGGTGCAGACGGACTTCTGCTCGGACCAGCTCCCAGGCGTCAGCGCTGTGTCTCTGTGGAAAGAAGAACACGTGAGTTTAGTCTCCAACATGCAACAGGTGATTTGCTTATGATTAAGTTTGACCATAAAACCTTACCATATGAGCCAAGACGTGTCGCGAAAGTTTCTTAAAATACATGGTCATCTTTCTGTGATTTTTCCTGTGGTGAGTGTGCTTTCCAATCTGAACCTGAGCAAAACAAAAACACACAAATTGTCAACAGAGCGCACGTATCATTAAAGGTGCAGATGTTTTGGAGGAGATGCCACTTACACATGAGCCCACACCATTTGCCTGTTGCTCAATGATGTCTCTGAAGTCCTCCACGACGCGCGCACTCCAAGGCGCGTGTGTCTGGTCCTCCTCAAAGAGCGCGTAAATCTCATTCAAGACGTGCGCCGCGAAACTGAGTCGTTCTCTCCGCTAAAAGACACCACAAAAACATGAATTAGTTATGCCATTCAAGGGTTGATTGTGTAGAACAGATGTATCAAACTCATTGTGGTCGGGGGCCAAATATAAAAACATTAGAGCTGCATGGTTGGGGCCATGAGTATAAAAGTGTCACAAAAGTAATTTTTTATTTATTTTTATCTCTTTCCTTTTTCTTTTTTTCTTTTCCTTTTTTCTTATTTTTTGACATATTAACTGTATTTTAAATTATTTCCTTATAGGTTTGCATGTTTTCAACGAAGAAGAGATGGAAGGCTGGAAAAACCGCAACAGATTAAATAACTATAATTTCTGATTACATGTTAGCTCACATCTTAGAACATATTAAATTATATGGCTGTTCTCCTGAGAAAATAAGCTTTAAAATGAAGTATAACATGCCATAGTATCCCATTACCATCCATGCTGCAAGTTTCTGTGATCATGATAATTGAAAATCATATCAGGGGCCACTAAAAATGCCGGATTTTGCCCACAGGCCTGAGTTTGACAGGTCTGGTGTAGAAAGTGATTATCCATGCACTTACCGACTCTCTGGACGCGTGTCTGTACAACTCATTCGGGAAGGCCGCAGCATCATCCAATTCAACATCAGTGGAGTTTAAGGAGTCGTTTTTCTATAGATTAAAAAATACACAGTTCTCAATAAGCATGTTTAGGAAAATGAATGTTTGCGCAATGGCTTATAATAAACTTACCATTGTTTTCAGCAGATCCAATGAGCTCTCGCTGTATTGTTTAAAATGGTTGTCCATCCATCTGCAGGTCAGGGAGGAGCCTGCAGCGGTGAAAAGGGCGCACACTAAAATGACCTTGTTCAGCATTTTGTTGAATTTCTCAGTTTAGGTGGCAGCTGCTTTGTAAAAAATAAAAACAAATCTGCAGTTGTAATTGCTCTGTATCCTGGTAATTGTTTGCATGGCCATTGCAATTCCTCAAGACGTTAATATAGCGTCTTTGGCGCCTCCTTTGATTTCGCTTTCAGTACCTGCCTGAGGGAATTCATATGACGTCCTGCAGGTTGTATAGCATAGGTATAAAATTGCATCATACATGTCTAGAGTGGTCTGAACAACAACAACAAAAAAACTGACATATGTTGATCACTTATAAGGGGCAAATTTAGAACACGTTTATTATGTATAGCCATATATTCTGAAGAAAAAAACAGCATGATGACAAAAACATACAGTCTACAAAAAACTATGCCTAATCAAGAAAATAAGATTATTCATATAGTAAATTATTAAAAATCGATGCCTCCTCAGGTTTGAATATTGAATAATCAGAATCTTTAAATGAATCCCAATTTTGAAGTGCGTCTGTTGCTTATTGAATATACTTCTGTTGTTTATGGTTATTTGAACTGTATGTAAAACAGAAGAAATATAGCGTATTTATTGTATATTTTGTTTTTGCATATTTCATCACCTGCAGCTAGTGAATAATTGAGTTAGGAGTTCTCACGGGGACGTCCCAAACGCGTGCCTTACTTATAAGAAAATGAAAGCAGATTGAGTCAGGGTAGAGTTTGCTCATCAACATTCCTGTACTTTGATCCCTGAGATATTGGCCCAAGCACATTCTTACACACTTTTATTTTTACACATGTGCTATGTATTGAGACCAAAATGCATAAGTAAAAAACTGTTACACTAGTGAACAGTGTAATGCTTGGATTCAAGTCTACTAAACTTTTCATCGCCAACAAAAATACAGAAGGTATATTTAGAAAGGAATAACTATGGAATTACTTGCAAATGACGACGTCTGCTGGCAAACCTGTGTACTACACAATATTAACATCAAATTGAAGAAGTTAAAGATCTAATTCCCTGCATCAAGTTAGTTTTTTTTAGGCTTGAATGCACATCTATTCGATATAGGGAATGTGATTCAGTGTATTAAAGAGTAAAACTGTATAATTTTGTTGCCAAGGTTTAATTTGTTACCATATCATACACAATACATTTATATGATTAATTTCTGTGATTAATTATCTTTTAACATATACTTTTAAGCGACAGGGATGTCCGGTTGGGAGACTTTAACAAAGAACACCATGTCCCCCTCACATGGTGTAGTAAAAACAATCAACATGCGCCGTAATTCTGATAAGTTCAAGAAAGTAGTAAAAATAAACTTTTGACTATGTAACATACAATAGTAAACCAAATGGACACAGTCAGGATCAGTATGGGTTATAATAAATATGAGTAAATGTTATGATTAATGCAAGTTTGAAACGTAGTATACTCTTAAAATATAATTTCAAAACACTTTACGTGATAGATAGAAATACATTGCTGTTCTTATTGCGTCATTATTACTAAAACTAAAGAGCAGAATTATGTATTGATATATTTCTCCATATTTTCTTGTGTTTGTGATCAATATGTGCTTACTGACGCAAAATTCTTGCTGAAATGACATGTTTACTGAAAAGTTTTCCTATTTCCTGAAGCAGTAAAGGCACCACAGAGTCCACCCGCCCTACTACGCTCTAGCACCGGGACTATCGCTCTGCAACCGCTCTGCCCTAAAGAAACACAAATCCCATGGTCTTTTCTGCATCTTAAGGATATTTTATTACTTCGGAAACGATAAAGCAACGTGTCGGAGCCTATAACAATTGAATTCTAGTATTCTTCGTACAGATCTCCAGCTGTTTTCCTCATACTGATGGCAGGATAGCCCAGGTTTGTCGGTAAGACTGCAGCTAGCAAACAAGCTAAAGCTAATTGATGTTGTCATATATCTTCCTGTTATGTAACGCTTTATTTATCCCTGTTTTAACCTGTGCCTATTTCAATGTTGCAAATATATCCTAGTTGGGCAGTTTAATCGACGGGGTTGGTATTATAATAGATCCATGGGCTGTTGTCCATGTAGCTGTAACTTGAATGTTAGCAACTTGCATAGACTTAAAGATCTATATGAGGATTTCCCCCAAATTTTAGGAAACAACAGCCCTCTCCACTTTTTGAACAAAACTATATGGTCTTATTTGATGACCATGTATTACCAGAAAGAATGATTGACAATAAGGAGTCTTGATGGTCTACGCGGAAGAAGAAAATCCCCCTATATAGGATACCTTTTAAATAAGGAGCTCAATGTTTACATATTTTTCACTTGTGTTGCTCTTATCATAAGCATGGCATCAATACCACTATGCATGTTATAACGTTTGATAGACTGATCCAATAGTGAAAATGACTTTGAGAACACCAAGTCATCCAAACAGGAAGACACTTTTCTACATATAGACACAAGTTTCCTGGATAATAGGGTGGACTAGTGTCTTTAACCAAGTATATATCATGGTTAATATGTGTACAGCTACAAGTTGGGTACTTTATAAAATTCTGCATATATATTTGTGCTGAAAAGTGGTAATGTAATCATAACATATCAATACTAAAGGGAAGTCTGTGTGCTACTTCCCTCCATGGGTCTGAAATATGGGAATCACATGACGCTGCTGTACTGCTGCTGCCATGAAATTACGGATATTTCACAGAGCATAGTTAGAGTCTGGGGGAAGATGGGCACACGTTTGTAATTGTGGGAAAGAAAAGCAGAAATAGGAAATCACATGCCCTCTTTTTCTCTCGCCGCCAGTGTGAAGACACGATTTTGCACGACTTGTTTTGTTGGTATGTTGTCACTGCTAAAGCTGATTTATACAATGTAGATTATGATCAATGTAACTTCCTGTCTCTTGCTGATGCTTAATATCTGAGAAACTTTCTCTTTGACTGAACTGAAGCATAGAATATATGGGAATGCACCATGCTCTAAAACTATTGTCCTCTCTAGTAGTTTTGTTTATTTGTTTTATTAATGTTTTTTTTATGCATGGTTTTCTAGGTGTGCCATGTGGGACTGAATGACATGCCATGTTAGCCACGCAGATGCCAGAGACGCTGCCCGACGCTAAAGATGTCAAACGGGTAAAACCACTTTTCATTTACCGACATGCAGTTAATTTGTTTTCCTGTCATTCCTAAATTCATATTAAAATGTATAGTAATTAACATGCAGATTCTAAAACAGGATGTAATTATGGACTGTAAATATACAATTACAATATTGGCTCGATGCATCGTGTTTAAAACCATGACGTTTTAGAGTTGTGCAAATGTAACTTGGTGAATTGTTTGTGGTTTCACAATTGAAGAATTTCATAAGTGTGCTTGACTGGGACTGCTTAGTCAGTGCTGGAACTATTTGTACATTGACTTTTTTATTTTTACCCAAGTCAGATGACACCAGGTACACTGCCCTGTTAGGTAACCTTCTCTAGGATCTTTCATAGCAAGACTGTAACTGATAGTGAAGATGATTTATTTATATATCACTTACAAGGGGCATTTTGAGAAAGCTGCTTTTTCTACTTTTACACAAGAAACGGTGAGAAAGTTGAGGTCCGAGGATTTGATCTAAAATCCACCATGACTCTTTTAAAGGCAATCCATGCATGAATTTGGAGCCAAAGAAGATCTTTTAATATTTTATTAATACAGGTGTATTGAGTTTTTTCTTATTCACGTCCAGAGTAAAGGGTCTTACAGTAGTTCATAGGAATATATATGGACTACCCTTCAGGAACCAGAGATATTATATAAATTATACAAAAAGTGGAGCCTTGAAACTGTATAAAATACTACTAAAATCAATAAGAAAAATTTAATAACAGAAACATTTAGGGACATGTTGGTGCGAACTGGAATCCAGGTCACAGAATAGGAAGAGCCATGAAGGGTTAACTGATGATATTTATGTTGGAATGATGAATTGATTGAGTCAAAGAGTGTTTGGTAATTAGATGAACCATGATCCTATCCCCCTGTAGAGAGCAAAGCACTATGGATGGGTGTAACAGCACATGGTTTGATTGAATTATGCCTCAAACAATAGGAGCTTTTCTTTGAAATCAGATATGAAAGTTCAAACATCATGCTTACATGCTACTAATGTTTTTGCTATACAAGTGTCACTGAACCGATAAGAGTGTGGCAAGAAACACTTTTGTTTTGGGTTAGGGTCAGTTGAAAACTATGAGCAACATCCACCCAAGTGGATAGAATGCTTAAGTTTGGGCTTACATTTGTCAAGATTTTTTTTTGCCAACAATTCAGAATCAGTGTTTTTTATTGCCCTTGTCAGTGAACAGGGAATTCACCATGTCTCAAAAATACAGAGGGTAGTTTTCATGTGCCTTTCTATCTATTTTTAAAAACTTGTTTGCAACATGTACCAAAGCACATTCCTAGTTTGTTACTTACAATGGCAATACAAATAATTCTGATTCTGAATCTGATTTGCTTTGACCTTTTATGGTGCAGTAACAATCATAAAAAAGTTAACAAGATAAAATAAGGCATGCATACAAATGTTTCTATAATATATACACTGAATAAACATATTACAGTACAAGTATAATGAAACTAAGTTCACCTCTAGTTTAGGTCAAAATGCAGATCCATAGAACATCCTAATTTTATTTTAGTATTTTTCATTAATTAATTAATTCATTCGTAAAAGTGTGCCCTGTTTTGCTCCAGATTAAAGACCGGTTGATCCAGTCGCTTAAGGCTCTTCAAAAACGCTATGTGACGTCAGACACGGCCGTCACCAGTGAAGATGGTGATGCAAACCACCTCTGCTCTGCTCTGGAGGCCGTCTTCATCCACGGCATCAGGGGCAAGTTCATCCGCCTCGAGAACGGGACCAGAAGCAGGAAAAAGGAGAAGGGGCTTCCTCAACCCGCTTTCTGGAGCCTCTTGAAAGCAGTTACACATCGGTATGTAACAAAATACAATAAAACTTGTCTACTGACACTCGTGGGTTATTAAAATCTCAATATGGATCTAAAATGATGTAATAAAAGTGCTAACCATTCCGTTCCACCCCCCTCCTCCCCCCAGTAAAGTAAGAAGCCATAGACAACACTTCAGAGTAAACAAAATCAGGAACGAATAGATAGTTTAGTCACTAACTGTAAGCAGTATATATTTACTAGACTGTTACTAAGTAGTATAAATTTAAGTAACTTTTTCAAAGTAACTAACTTACTTTTACAAAGTAACCCAACACTGGTCCTCTGGTTAGTTCATTGTAACACTTCTTTTACTCTATTTACTTCTATATATCTTGACGTAGAACTTAGCAGTCATTGTGTTCAAGTAAAAAGTCATGTGCTGTGCCTTTTATTGATGCCAGCTAATCATAAATGCTTTTCTTTTCCTCAGTGACGTGATTACTGAACTGGAGAAGCTCAACTTTGTGACCACAGAGGTGGGCCGTTGTCGTGCGTGGCTTCGTTTAGCTCTTAACCATGGCTTGCTGGAATGCTACCTGGTCTCACTGTTCAGAGAAGAATCCAAACTGCAGGCCCATTACCAGCCAAGCGCTCTCCTTTTGAACCCAGAGGAGAGAGAAGTCCTCCTCACTTACCTCCAGGGCCTCTCCTCTCTCACATTTGATCTGTCTTACAAGTCTGCTGTCCTAAAAGAGTGGACCACCACCCCGTTAGCCTTAGCCGGACTTTGCCCTATGTCCCAACTAGACACACTTGAGGTCAATGGAGATGCTACGGCTAAGACTAACGGCGAAAATTGGGATTCGGTCTCACAAGCGTCCAGTTCTTCAGATGCGCTGCTGGACTTGTCAAAAGAGGCTCCGGTTTCACTTGTGGGACTGGGGGAAAATGGCAGAATGGATCTCACCTCCTCGAATTTGAGTCTGGACACCACCGGATCCTCACATCTCTCGTCCAGCCTGAGCTCAGACAGTCTGCTGCAGGGACAGGAGTTCAAGAGTCCCGCGGCCGAACAATCGTCCTCCAGTGACATCGAAGTGTCAGTCACGGTCTGCACCAAAAGGACAATGAAAGAGTAAGGGATTCAAGTTTCACTGGTTTTTCTTTTTTTTTTTACCAATTATTTATAAATTTTCATAACATAAACACACACACACACACACACATACAGTGGGCAGTTCCAAGTAAATTATGTTATAAGCATTGTTGTTGCATTTGGTGTTATAGCCTGCGTCATAATGCAATCAGATGATCCACTTCTATCAGGAGTTAAAATTGTGACCTTGTGAGACTAGTAGATTAAATACCTTGTGTCAATCAAATTACATGAAAAGATAAAAGGAGGTCAATTTATTATTTTATTGTACACTTTAGTAACATTTAATATTTATTATTATTCACAATGAAAAATCTTCTGATTAATAAGTCATAACCATAGCAGAAAGTCAATAACAATGTTACAAAACCTTCTAATTCCTTATCTGGTAGAGCCATGTTATTCCATCTTGTGGCATTTGAATTGTTTTATTTATTTATTCTGAGTTTATACTGGAAATACTAATAACATGGTTTTAAGAAATATGAATCCATATGTCTTGTTTTATGCCATACTGTTGCCATACAATTGTAGACAAAGTAATGTCTTCTCTTGCTCTTAACGTTTTTGAATAATAACTTACTTCATTATCTGTTATGTTTTTGTCCTGTTCTTGTAGTTTGTCTAAAACCCAGGAATACTTCAGCCAGGACTCGATGCGCGAGGACTCCTTTGTCTCCAGCACCGGTCCGGACCAGCTCTCTGAAAACACCATAAGCAGCAGTTCTGACAGTGAAGCCCAAGGAAGTCCAATAATCCAAAAGCCCCTCGCTGAACCTGCTCCTGCCTCCACCGAGCAAACACTGTGCGATGAGGTTCTGGATATTTCCTCCAGACACAGCCGAACCCTTGAACCCAGTTTGGACCATGACGCACCTGTAGTAAAATCCAGCGATGGAGAGATGTTGAAGTCTGCTCCCAAAGAAGAAAGTTTAGACACGAGAAAGGACAATTTTGAAGACGGCCCTGAACCAGTAGTTTTCCCAGAAGCAAGGCGTTCAGCCAGTTTGACCAGCAGACAGCCCTCCGAGTCTCTTTCTGTAAGTAGCATCGATATTGAATGTAAACGTTTGTGAGTCTTTTTGGTGCTCACCAAATCCAAAAAGCCACAAAACCAATGATTATTGCAAACATTCACTAGACTATAGTACACATGTAATTGTTAAGCTGCTTTTGTTCTGGAAAATATGCACATTTCCTCTCCCATCTTGAAACCAAGCCCACGGTGTAACGCAAAAATATATATTCCCTTCAAGTTTTTATATATATTAGAAAATGTATTTGCAAATTATCATTTTTAGTTTCAGTCAGATGTTTTGTTTTAAGTTGTTTTAAAAAAAGAAAACAGTTTAAAAGTAATAATTTTTCTGAGTAAAATCACTTTCAGTTTGCACCAGTGGTTTTGTGACCACTTTCAGTCATGAGCTGCATCTTGTATTTAAGAATGCATTTTGAAACACAGTGGTTTTGCCTTTTAGTGTAAACTGTGAGACTCATGCAAGCTACGAGCAGAAAAAGGGAAGTTAGGTGCTATTTGTCTTGTCACACACGAAACCTTGAAATAGCAAGTTTTTTCAAAGCTTATATCAGCAAAATGAGGAACTTTGTGTTTGAACCCCGCAGTATTCTCATTCATGGATCTCAGATGATGATATCTACAAACCGACGCTGGAGGATGTCTCAGATCCGGACCAAGACGAGGGTTTGGTCCCGACATCTACCACTCCAGAACCCGTGGCACCGCAGTCCACTCCCAGTGTCGTACACCGCAGAAAAACTGGTAACAATCTAAGTCCACTCTAACTAAACTACGGTATTCACTTTAGTTTGATTACTGGACATACGAGAAGATCTGCTTTTCTCAACACCTCTAACTTTAGTCCACCGTTGCACGCCACCTGCAGGTCAAATGCTTATAATAATTACAGTGAAAACATTACAATTACCGGTGTACACAAACCAGTAAGTGATGTAATCTGTTCTGTATTGGAACAGTGATCAAGGAGGTGATCAATATTTGTTTAATGTTTTTATCTATGCTTTGAGTCCTTTATGATTACAAAGTACATTATGTCAATAGATTGCGTGCTGTTTCTGGGTCAAAGATTGCAAGCGACTGTCAAATGAAAAGCAAAGAATTCTAATGAGTCACTTGTGTTTCCTTACTGCTGCTAAAAGGTGAAACACTGATGATGTCACACACTGTTCACCTGTTACAGCTTCGGGAAAGTTTCCTGAAAGCGCTTTATCTTGAACAAAGGCTCTCCCTAAGTACTTTGACCGACAGTTTGTAAATGTTGGTCATTTGTGAGAATTGTTGTATAATTTGAGCTTAACTCACTTTAGCTTTACACATCTAAAACCAGGGAAATCCAAAATACATCTATCTTTCTTTTCAGAGGCTTAATTGATATTTTTTCTACAGCTCAACCAAAAAGAATGAAAACTGTTATACACCGTTTAACATGCACAACATAAACCATTTTGTATTTTCTCCTCTTCTTTCTGCCGGCCATCGTGACCAGTGGTCATATTTTTTCCGGTCATTTAAAAAAAAAAAATGGTCAGAAGCATAACATATAAACTCTGGCAGGGATGACTACCGGTTTACGTTGATAATAAATAGCCACAATGTCACCGTGTACCGTGAGGATGGACTTCCTGAGAGTAATTATAGAGTTCCTTTATTTCACTGAGTTTGTGGAAAAACAGCCCTAACAGCCACTGGACGGAACAGTCTGAGGTCATTCAGTCCTTTTCTGCTGGTCCTGTTACAGACTGGAGATCTATTCACTTATTATTCCCAGATTACTAAGCGTGGCAAATGTATTGATATGAAAACATTTGCTTAATGCACCTTACATTTCCTCAAAGTGCTACAGATTAAAATTCAATACAACAGGCTCCTTCTGATTAGGACTTTGTTGTGCTTGATGATGAAACTTCAGGGCATACCATGTACAGTGTTTAGAAAGCTGAAAGTATGCACACTCATCTTTCACTCTCTCTCAGGAATTTCCAACCCTTTCCGCGGTCTGCTGAAGCTCGGTCACCTGGAGCGGCGCCCTGCGATCGGAATGTGGCGGGACCACTACTGCGAGCTCTCGCCGTTCGAGTTCCGGCTGTACCTGAACGCGGAGGAGCGCACCTGTGCCGAGAACTGCTCCCTGGTGCGCTGTGATGACGCCCGGCTCTCCGCTTCAGACGGACGCTTCGAGCTTTCGTTCTCGGGGAAGAGGCTGTACCTGCGGGCGGCGGATCGCGGCGAGGCGGAGGACTGGCTGGACTGCATACAGGAGGCGGTGTGCAAGTGCAGGCCGACCCCGGGGGTGGATGAGCCGTGGGAGGTGCTGCAGTTCCCTCCGGTGGCTGCGTCTTCGTCTGCGCCCTCCAGTCCAGACCTGGGCGGATCCTCTTCGGACTCTGGCATCAGCGAGGCTCAGGACGCTCCGGCTCCGAAAGTGTTCGACTGGACGCGCGGCGGAGACGTGGAGCGAGATGCCATCAAAGAGGCGGTGTTGTACTGCAGCAGTGACCCTGAGTCGCGGCACTGGACCCCCATGGTTTTCTCTCTGTCGCTGGAGGCGCTGAAAGGGTTTGAAGTACGTATCACAGGTTTATATTTACATGAGGGACAGACACCAGTTTGAACTGAATTATAGTTTAAACAAAGTAAAAGTAACAAAGTCACTATTAGGGCTAAAAGAGAACTGACAGCTTTGTCCTAAAAATCTAAACATTTTTCAAACATTTTACCACTAAATGGATTCTTAGAGTAGTGTTTTTGCACCTGACAGTTTTTACTGCTGGCATGAAGTCCTCCTCACTCGCTTTGACTCAAAAATTATCATTTTTGCAGTTTTTATAGTATAAGACCAATTAGACTATATTTACTCCTTGAATAAAAGTATATATTTTTGGTAAAATTATTTATTCAAATATAAATTATGTTTGTTTTTTATTATACAGCTATTGATGGGAGTGTGTTGGCTGATTAACACTTGATATCATCAAGGTCAACTTCAAGTTTATTTCAATAGCACATTTACAGTGCTTAAAATTTAGGAAAACATGAATTAAAATATATTTCCCATAAAGAATTCTGCTTAAAAACTGGTGCAAAAATCCACATAAGAAACTGCAGCTCTAACTTTGGGTGAAAGGATTCTCTAGTGTGAAGCAAATGCACTTTGAACATGTGGATTTAAACATCGTCATAATAATATTGATATCATTCATTGTCTGTGGATGTTAACTTGTCGTGTCCATGTGAAGCTGCAGGAGCAGAGGAAGCTGCTGCGGACAAACCACCCCATCCAGGACATCAGGGACGTGGTTCCTGACGTGTCCATGGGAGGCGCAGAGTTCTTCAAGCTGCTGACGGTGCGAGAGACGCTGAAGCTGCGTGCAGAGAACCCCAGGGAGGCGCGCTCCTGGAGGGACCTGATCCGCGGCGCTCTGGACTCTTACCTGGAGAGCGGAGAGGACGCAGCCACGGAGGAGCCCATCGTCGCTCCGTCTGGGATCAACGGAAACCTCCAAAGACTCGTGCAGCACCGGCTCAAAGAAGACGGCCTGCTTCTGACGCATCTGTGCCATGTCCCGGCGGAGAGCGGCCTGGACTCTCAGAGCTTCAAATGTGCAGGTCATTTGTGTTTCTTTCTCAACCATATTTTAGTCAAATGTACTTAGTGCCAAGAATATGATCTTGTGAGAGTCTTTTCCAGTTTTTTTCACATTCGTTTTGGAATAAGGGTTAGTTTCACATTTGGGGAAGGAAAATCTGAAATGGAATAGATCATGTATTCTGTGGTTAAAACTACTGCTGCTTGATCTCCAGGCCAAATCATTGCACAAAACGTATAGTTTTATTAATGAAATAGGTCCCTAAATAAATTAGTAAATTAGTTTTTAAATGTCAAAACAACATCTTTATTAAGGGAAAATTGTAAGCTTACTTCCCAATGTAATATTATTTAAATGACTGTATAAAATTGTTACATAATTATTTTATGATAATAGTGCAGTGTATGCCAGGTTCATGAAGGCCGATATGTCTACAGTACATAATATACTGTAACTTGAATGATAGAAATGTCCATCCATTTTGCAGTTGATATTCCCCAAGTTACATTTCTGGTTAATAGCAGAAAGTCAGCTGTCATTTGTGTGTGGTGTTCAGGATGCCCGCGGCAGATCGGCCCGGCCCGAAGCAGAGCCCGACTGTGCGACTTCACAGGACTGTACTTCTGTGACTCGTGCCACGTCGGTGACACCACCGTCATCCCCTCTCGAATGGTGCACAACTGGGACCTGGTGGAGAGAGAGGTAAACTGTAAAAACACAGGAAATATCCTTTGACTGTTTGGTCATAGTTATACATTATATATTTTGTTGAATTTGTTTGTGCAGGTGTCGAAGAAGGCCCTGCGGCTGATGGCGGAGGTGCAACACGAGCCGTTGTTAAACTTGGATCAGCTGAACCCAGATCTGATGAATCACTCGGAGTCCATGGCCCAAATACACAAACTCCGGTTAAAACTTAGACTCTTGGGTGATTACCTGCTCACATGTCGGAGCAACGCATGGAAGAAACTGCAAGCCAGGTTTGTTTATGTTCAAGTCTCATTTCTCTCACATTACCTGTTGTTTGTGCTTCTTTTACAAAAATATTAATAATTCTAAAAAGCTCCCTGTTGGCTGAAAATAATAAAATGTATGGCTTGAGGGATTTCTCTTATAATAGAAAAGTCACATAATCAAATTTTTGCATGCTTTAAATAGTGTTTGGGGCACTTTTATTCTTTAGATCAGCATTTTCAGGCAGAAATGTGAAAACTAGTGATGGGACCAAACTTTTATTTTTGCGATCTCATGAGTTCTGTTTTTAGAACTAGTCTGACAATTATATTGCTTAGAGTTTGAGAGTTAGGTACTCCAGCTCTACCAAGGTGTCATTACAATACAAGCCGCGTGATTTGTAAATCTATGGGTAACAAGACATTTCTAAGTTAGTCTTTTTCCTACCAGGATGGGACAGCGGCCTTACCTCTTGGAATCCAGTCAACTGTACAGTATTCTGGATCTGCGTCAGGTATGCCACAGACATAGAAAGCATTACTAAATGAATAATTGATAAAACTAGCCACCTATTGTTGACGTGTTGTTTTCCAGATCGCTGAGGACCAGTATCACGTTTACTTGATCACATTGGTGCAACTCGCGGCGAACCACGTCTTCCAGTGCGACCTGTGCACTCAGAGAGGATTCATCTGCCAAACATGTCACTCTAACGAAATCATCTTTCCCTTTCAGTTTGACACAACCACTCGGTAAGCTAGCTATTCATGTTTCTTTTTATTACAGCAATAAATTAATCTATGTTTTCTTTCCATGCAGTTGTAAAGATTGCAAAGCTGTGTTCCACCTTAACTGTAAATCTACTAGTGATCCATGTCCACGATGTTTGCGAATTAAAAAATACCAAGAAAGGGACATGCAATAGTGATCCGCCTGCAGTACCTGTGTGTTCCACTAGAGCGCAGACTTTCAGACTATACTACTGTCGCGATTACATTGTCCAACCTGAAGTGCAATTATGAGAACAACAAGGAACCAGTCCTTTGCTGAAGAATTTAACCCAAAGCCTTTTTTTCCCGATGCCAGCGAATCACCGCCAACGTTACAGATTCCTCTTTGGTTTCAACATCAAACGAAGGACAAGATGGATTTTCAATTTGTTTGCGTTAAATCATTGGGTTTGCAGAAAAGCGATTCTGTTAATATAGGATGATTAAGCATAACATCATGACATTGGAAAATACTGGATCCTTCTACATATATGGGCTCTGCTTTGGCCAGAACGGAAGTTAGGAATGAGGAAGAAATTGGTTCTGTTGGGGAGAAAAAGAGGAGAATTAACCATGTTTTAATGGTGCTCCCATGGATTGGATTGGATTTCTTGGAAGTTGTACACAGATGGCTTCATGTATGTTTAGTGCTGGGTTTGAATCTCCTTACTGATTAAAAAAAAGTCTCCTGGTCAAACATAAAAATCAATAAAAAATGTGTAATTTCTAGATTTGAAAAGTTTATAAGAGGCAAAAAGTTCATAATGTTATGCTTATCAGACATCAAGAGGCGTTTTTTGGACAAACGAATGATAAAAGCACTTGGGATGATTGCATTACAGATTTTAATTGTGCCTTTTTTGTTTTGAGATTAGTTGTTATAGCCATAAAAGCTATGGGTAACATAAGCATTTGATTTCTTTTCTGTCTAAAAAATAAATATGAAGAATCATTTAAAATCATTGTGCATTTATCCTAGTTTTACTCTTAATTACAAATTAATCCAAACATGCCAAGGAAATCGGAATTTTTTTGTTTTGTTTGCAAATTTGCACATCTCGACTGTGATAGGTGCTTTGCGTGACACATTTACAGCACACTTATGGTTTGAGTGATGTAGCATTGAGTTAATAACAAAACATGTAGATTACTCATTGAAGCGCATCCATTCTGTCACTTTACCTTTGCCGCAAGATCTGATTGAGGCGTTTAAGTGTATTTTTATGTGTAAATATAAAAATAAATATTAATTACAAGTGTTTTTGTCTATCTATTTGTAATTGGCGAAATATCCATACTGGTAAAATCATCCAGGTCAGATGTCATGATGCTTGAAAATGACTTGGTTTGAGTGTTTTGGCAGAACTGGAGTGTGTTTATTGCAAGAATACATCCTTCTTTGCTCAGACTCACACCAACCCACAGATCTATGTTTATTATATTATTGCAAGAGTCAGGTCCAACTTCAGCTGCACCTTTAATCCATATCCCCAAAGTATTTGATTGAAATTAGGTTAGCGAAATTTAAGCAACCCACATGCAAATATCGGAGGGAAAGAAGGAGCATAGAGACCAGTACTTCTAATAGCTTCTTTCTACGTCATTTATCAGGTTTGACAGAGACAGTTGGATCTGACACCTCTGAAAGCGGTTTCATAGAGTTAAAAATAGATTGATTTACAACATTTGCCTTTTTTTGTCCTGAAACACGTGCAAGTGAAGTGCGTAGGCTTTATTTTTGGCATTCACGCAGGTGCCTCAGATCAGATTAATGATGATGTAATTGTTAGCCAGGGCAACACCACCTGCTATTGATAAGACGCGCTCCTATGTTGGCAACTTTACGCACATACTCCAAGACCAAGACTCTTACTGTATGATGAGTGCGTTTAGTCTTTTGGGAGGCGTGTCACATATGCAAACGCGAAATGTTATTTAGTTTGTCCAACAAGAATGCATAACAACACGGGATAATCAAATGGGAGGAGTGTGCAGCCTGTAAAACGCGTTCCACCAGCAACCAAAGCCGTTCCAGTATTCTCAGTGTTTGGGCTGCGTATCCAGTCTCTCTGCCCCGGAGCAGTACAATTCATGCTCCACCACACCTACCTGCCAAGCCTTTTCATTAGTTTTAGTCATTTCGGGGCAGAAATCAGAGGATCAAGCAGGAAGCCAGATACCGGGCGCGCGTGTCTCTCTTGGCGGGGATGGATGCGCTGGACCACGGCCCGGTGAGCTCCAGGAGTCGGCTAGAGAGGAGCAGCCACACCGCTTTTATAGATGACAATATGCTGTATGTCTGGGGTGGCTATCAGGTAAAACATAAACTCTATACATACGCTGGGGTCCATGAAATACGTGTCTATATATTGTGCGTAATTTCGCTTGTCTGCCTGTACAGCGTATAAAGTTATTGTCAAAGTCATATGTTAGGTTGGGTTTGAGAGTTTTGTCTTCGAGGGAATTCCTTCAGAGTGATTAGAGGAAACTCAACACTTGAAGAGGTCCTCCGTGCAATATGAAGGAAAGAAAAAAAACAACAGGAAGTGTCTGGATGCAGCTTACATCCTAGTCTCAAACCAGATCTCCCAATGATGAATGAGGATGTTAGGATGTTGTCAGTTTATTATCTATAATGAACTATAGATTTTATATTGTAAATTATTAGTAGGCCTGAGTATTGAAGGAGAAAAGCGGCCATTCAATCCATGGCAGATGTGATATGTAACTAATCTTATTATAGCCCTAAATTCAACCTATAGGACCACAGCTGACTTCACTCAGTTATAGATTAATTTTATGTCGAATAAGAAATGAGCTGAGTGGGAGTGTCTTTGGTTAGTTGCCTTAGCTGGCTATTATTTTTTTGCATTTTCTTCATAGACTTATTTTATACTTTTAATGTCTCAACAGATGGCTAATGGAGAAGACCTGGTGTTGCCCAGTGATGAGATATGGCTGTTTGATTTGTACAGTGGCATATGGTAGTCTAAAGTCTTTTGCATTAATTGAATGTCTTTATTTTGGTTAAAGATTAACTCTATATGTTGTCACAGGGAGCAGAGGCAGCTGAGCGGGGATGCTCCTCCAGACCTGAACGGTTTCTGCGGCTCCTACTTGAACGGGACACTGTACATTTTTGCAGGATCTGATGGCGAGGGTTACACAAATGATGTGAGTTTTGTTTATGATGTCGGTCACAAGCGATTATGGAAATGCTCGTGACAGCCCTGATAAATGTTTATAACGTATAGGATGTCCATACTTCAAAAATCCCCTGTGCAAAGTCCTATGCAGGAAAAAACAGCTTTAAATCTGCTGTTTGCACTGTAAGCGTGGCCTTTTTTCTACTGCTCACCGTATGTCATGTATAATCTTAATCAAATTGGGTCATCTCTTTATTTCATTATTGTTATCTTTGCTGCTATCAGTGATATGACAAACTGTCACAGGCAGAACCTGCTGTGACTTGAATCATGTTAGATACAGATAGTAGAACAGCATGTTTCTTTGAGCGTTTCAGAAGGGCAGGAATGTGAGAGGGGAACATTTGCCTTAGGTAGTTTTTATTTGAGAAAACATTTTGATATTTTTGATTTTCACACATCTCTTGGTAATCTGCATAGAAGTAGTACGTACCCCCTCCATGTGTCTAACTTATTGCAGGCCTCGTATTGTAGATTTCATCCTGATGGGGGTGAAACTGACACATTTGAAGACTGCTCTATTATTCTGTGCCCCTTGTCTCTCATCTGAGTTGTATAATTCTGCACAGAGGATGATATCATTTCTCTCTCCTAGATGTTTACTGTGGATCTTAGGAGTGAGTGCCTCATCTGGAAAAGACTAACGAGCACCAATGGAAAGACTCCATCCCCACGAAACAAGCACTCCTGCTGGGTCCACAGAGACCGGTTGGTAGTAAACACTTATTATCACCATAGCAGAAGAAATGTCAAAATTACTGATCCATGAAGATGTATTTCCTCTGTGGTGTGTACAATGCAAATCTTTGGATCTAAAGTAATGTGGGCTAAAATCTTCCTAGTTGGAGAATCTTGTGATGAAATGATTAGAGCAGTGCCATTTACCTACAGCTCTGGTGTTTCTAGCTTATAAACACAGTGAACAAGTGGTTAACAATGTCAAACGTTAAAACATTCTTTAGGAATGTGCTGACAACGGTATGCCTGATTTGTGCTATCATTTCATGTTCTATTATGAATGCTTTTTATTTTATTAGGTTGATATACTTTGGTGGCTACGGTTGCAAGACATTAGGAGATGTGCAGAGCGGTTCTCCATCCAGCTTCGTTGTAGAGGAAATGTCCTGGGTAAAGGAACAAATCTTGTAATTGTCTTAATTTTCATGGACAGTAATGTAAAAAACTTTGTTCTAGACGACAATCGGAGGCACGCTGTTCAGGTGCTGGGGTTGGAATAATGAAGTCAATGTATTTGACACCCTCACCTCAACATGGAGCTTACCAGAAACACGGGTGTGTAAAGAAATCAACTGAAGACTTTAGTATCTGAGATCATTTTAATGAAACCACTGCTGTGCCCAGGGCTCGGTTCCTGTCCCCAGAGGCTGCCACGCTGCTGCTGTTTTAGGAAACAAAGGCTACATCTCTGGTGGCGTTGTGAGTTCTGCTTAAACCAATACACACAAACTTGTTTACATTTAACACCTGCAATGTGACCTACAAGGTGATCTTGTAAGATGAAGGTTAAATATATTGTTACTTTGTTTAGTCTCATCAGCAGAAAAGACATGCCTAGTCTTTGCTGTTCAACATGTCACAGCATTGTTCCTTCCAAAAGGGAGTTTTTAGTTCCTCACCTTTGTACAAATACTCCTGTCTCAAACTTGTTACAGTACAACCAATCCTTAAGGCTCAGACTGTGATGAACAGAGTTCACTTTTTTCACAAAGCCTCGACAGAATTCGTCGTTTTGTCATAAAAAAATTAAGAATCATAATTAGGCTTTTTTTAGTTCTGCGGCCGCATGTTACTTTACCAGTGAGATTAGCTCGACGCGGTGAGTTCTGGCGCCTGGATCACAGACTTTCTGATTGGTAAAACGGTGGAGAGCGGGACATCGATTTGAAAACAATAACAAGATTTGGGGGCTGTAAATCAAACATTGCAATTCAAATTCCTCAGCTGTTTTTAAAGTATTTGAAAAGAGCATGGTTTATTGATGCCTTTTGACAGATTAGGGCCATTTAATGATGACTTGACATGAAAATATTACATATTGCTACTTTAAAAAATATTATGCATTATTTTTGGCCAATACAAAATGTATTTGTTTTAGAATGTGAATACGCTTTCATAGTATTTCCATCTGTAATTCCCTATGCATCCACCAGAGGAAGTTTAATCTAATGAAATAAAAAAAATTACCAGTTTTCAAAGGCAGAAAACTGCTCTGAGCGTGATGTCATAGGCGTACAATTGCATAATATCAATATAGATTTGAGACAGAAGGGGCAGAGTTGCACGTTTGTGCCAGAGGTTATTATTGGCGTGAGTGGTTCTAAAAGAAAAAAACCCCAGGTCTTGTTTTGAGAAGGGAAAAATATTGTAACATGGTTAAAAGTGAAACTAATGATGATGACAATCTCTTGTGTGGCATATTCCAGGAAAGTGCTCAGTTAGATCTTTACTGCTTGGACCTGGACACTTGGATGTGGACTTGTATGTAAGTTTGTTTAATTTCACGCATCAAAATGACGTGTGAAACTTGTACCTGTGTAAATTAACGGGCGATCTTGATCATTCAGCGTCAATTCGGGCTCTTCGGCTCCAGTGGGTCGCACCATGCACACCATGACCGCCACGCCGGACGGGACCCTTTTTGTTTACGGCGGCTTCGGGACATTTGGACCCACACTTGGTAGGTCTTCGCCTCCGTTCTCTGATGAATCTTGAAGGCCCAAAAGAAGCTGACCTGTGAAACTGTTACAGATGATGCCTGGAAGTTCAACTTGCACAGAAAAGAGTGGGCCAAAGTGAATCACCAGCATAATGACAAACCCAGGTACCGTTACACATTTACACAGGGATAAAGTTATTTAAAAAACTATTTAATCATTCACTTCCTACTGGTGGTAAACTTGAGTTCTGTCGCCACACCTGTATATATTGATTGTACTCTGTACATTTTTGCCTTGCTGCTTTCATATCGACTTGACCAGTGTTTTTCAACCAGTGTGCCTTTTAGAAAATTTCGGGAAAAGGAAATGATGTGAGCAGATTAAAAAGACCTCTTGTTTGATATTCTATGCATTCCACTTTGATAATTACTTTATTTAGTTAATAAAGGCTGCATAGTTTAATCTAGTGGTGTAACATGGGAGGGTTCTCAATGAAAAGTGTGTGTGCCATGGTTCAAAAAGTTCGGAACACTGGACTAGACGGCCATTCTCACACCGTTCAAATTCAGATTAAATGCTTTCCAGATCTTGCGTCCAAACGTGACTGAAATGGTGTGTTTTTGTCTCAGGGTTGGCCATACCTCGTCTCTCGGAAACGACAGCGACATTGTAGTGTTTGGGGGAAGTAGCAACTTGACGCTGCAAATGGACTTGGTATGTTTTCACTTCCCTGTACAGTACACACACACACCCATTATTTACATGTTCCTCCTATACATTGGACTAATAATAACCCAGAGACATGTAAAGCCGAAACCTACAGGAACCTATAAGTGGTTTAAGGGCTCAGCTCGGTCTGGGATCTGATGTGGTAATGTTGTGTGGCACGTGAACACAATGTCAAATCATACTGGGCATTAGAGAATTTTTGAGTGAAGAAACACAACTAATGTTTTGCATGATGGATTTTTATGTAGAAACAAGTCGTCCATTTGGCCCGCAAGTTCATATTAATCACAATTTAATTGTAATCTCAGTTGGACTGGTCCCAATTATTGTATAAGGAAATCTCATCGTATAAAAGCCTCTTCTTGGATTTGAACTTCTGGATTTATACAACGCAGACTTAATAAGGGATTTTTCTTGTTAAAATATTTTTTTGCTTCTTGTTCTGAAATCTGAATCTGAAAAACTGTGCAGCAGTAGTCCATGTTGAGTTTGTCATTATAGAAAGCTACTCTATACACTTTATTTTTTGTAATCTGATAAATCCATATGAGCAAGTATCTGAACAAGTGCGTCTATTGTTTAATCTTTTATGAGTAAGAGTATTTGGTCCTCAGGTGTCTATTCTGAGGTCTCCACAGCAGCAGCACTGCAGCGACGTGTTGCTCTTTCAGACTCAGCCGTATACTCTCTCCAGGTATGTGCTTGTTTACTCTGCTCCTTCCTGGTCTAGATCACATCGGTCTGTTTACGGTTATGTAAAGGCTAAAGGGGAGGAGTTGATGGTAAATGTTGATTCAATTTCACAAACGGTTTAAACTTTGAATTTAAGTCCTCTGAGAACTTCCCACTGGTATGCACTCATTCAACTGTGTGAAGATTCTATTACCGTTCACTGGACAAAACTGATGTCAGTTTCTTCCAGGAAAATATCCAGTTTTTTTATTTTTAACTGTTTTCAATGTAGTGAAAATGCTTGATCTGGGTTGGGTCATGTGACATCAAAACTTTCCAAAGAGCCTATAGATTAGAGGTTACGGTGGAGGACCCGTGACGGTTCTGTTCTAGTGACTGGTAACTGTCGAGTCAGACCTCTTGGTTTATTTTTAACATTCCTGGGCAAATTCACTTAAAACAAAGTTCAATCTTTTTCAGCGCACATAAACTATGGTCAAAATATTTGCACATAAAGGGATCTAGAAGTTGTGCCATTATTTCAAAAAAAGATTATGCATGATGTTGGCTAGCGTAGCACTTGTGGTCGGATGCATGAGAGTTCAGAGTGTTCAGGATTTTCCTTTTTTTTTTTTAAATTGCCGTTTGCACTGAAACACCAGAGAAACGACATTACCACGCATTCCTCGTCTGAGCACACTTTCCCCCCCCCGCAAGCTGCCTCAACCTGCCTGCGTGGGTCACCTGAGTTTCTCCTGTCTAAAAAATATGCTAATTTTGTTATACTTGCAAAAAAAATAGGAGGTGGGTGTTACACATGTCAATTATCACGGGTCCCACACGAGTAGAAAAGACATAATATAATATGATGGGTTTGTAAATCCAAGCACAATCCAGTCTGGGGAAACATTTGGACATTCATTTTTCAACATCTATTTCAAAACTTTGAAGAGTTTTATTAAATGCACTCCAACGGAAAGGCATTTCTACAACATGCATGGAGTAAAGTGCTCATTTAAATTCTAAAGTGCAGTAAGTGGTAGACTCAGAGCTGGTCATATGTAAGTAAATTGAATAGTCGACTAAATCTGGAGGAAAAGTAACATGTGATTCCTCTTCAGTGTCCAACTGCAGCATTCTTTTTCTTCTGTAGATTATGTGAAGACTTCATAGGAAGAAACGGCGTGACCTTCGAGAGGAATCTGAACTATCTTCCTTCAAAAATGCTAAACAAACTAGAAAAGAGATGTGCCTTTTTCATACAGGAAACGTTACAACAAAGTGCCTGATTTTTAACTTTAAACCCAGTTCTTTAACAAGGTATTTTTTCATTCATGAAATTGTTTATAAAGTATTGTTTTTAACTTTATTTGTTATATATTTTGTAAAAAATGTTTTTGCCTTATTTTAAAAGCTTAAGGTTTTATCACTGATTTAATGTACATTTAAATAAAGAGGTTCTTCTAGATTCCCTTGTTTTGTTTGTCTTCATGGCACTTTTTCTACATCTTTTGCAAATTGTACACCTCTTTCTGTGTCTTATTCTTAACATTACTTTTCTGTAATTGTTATGTTAGTTCACCTCTTTTCATTAAATCTCTTTTCCCTTGGAAATATTTAATTTTTTTAATTAATTAAATGTAACACAATGTAACACAATTTGTCAGTGGAGAGACAAGTGGTTCATTCACAAACATTTTACTTTTAAATGGCACTTTTTTTTCCCCCTCTTTCTCCAAATCTTTATACAACACACGTGAACAGAATGCTTCCCAATTTTTTTAATTCAATACATCAGTGTTTGGATGAGTGTCTGGCCTTGTGGCTGTATTTCCCCTAAAATGGCAACGTTCTTCAGTGATGTTTGAAATGGGGAATGATCAACAGAATAGTTCAAAACGGTTAACGTTTTCATAAATAACACGTTTGTCCCAACAGTCTAAAATGTGAACAAATCTGACCCAACATGTCCTCAGCCTATTAGAAATCTTAAGATGTGACAGAGGCCAAAAATAAATACATGTGAAAACAATATGAAACTATTTTGAAAGGAAATAGTTAGATTTGATTTTTTTTTTTTTTTTTTTTTTTTTTGGGTACCCCAGCTTTAAGTAAAGCATATTTAGCCAGACATTTGAAAATGGAAAAATCCCAATCTGGAGGTAATGGCTGATTTTCAACTTTACGATTCAACTTTATAGATTTCTCTCTTTTGCTGCTAGAAGTCGGAGAATATCTTTTGGATGTGCCTGATGAATCGCCAACACACAGGTTCAAATGGGTCGGATGTAGTTGGCAGGTAGCATTCCTCTTTTTCCTGCGCGCTGGTTGAATCCAAACACCCAGCCGGCGTCTATGGTCTCCACATTTAGGATCAAATCTCCCTCCTGCAGTGACACTTCATCAGCTTCTACTGCGGTGTAGCTGTACAGAGCCTGGTAACGTGGCTGTTGGGAAATAAGATTTATGGTAAAGGTTTCAGGATTGTGCTTTTCAAATGAGGTATGAGCAACACAAAATATGATTTTCTGTTTCACAATGAAATACTAGACTCCTTTTTATGTAATGGCCTTACCCCTCCAGCAGGTGGTGCCAATCCGAGGAATAAATAAAATGCTTTGTGATTTGATTAATTCAAAATTGTATTGCAATATTCCTCAAATAATTTTTTTGTATTGCTGAAATCCTGCTGCACAAGTCGATGTTGAGTGTATCATTAAATTGCAGAAAACACTCAACTGTTTAATGTATAAAAAATATAAATATTTGGTCCTCTGGTGGCCATTTACAAATGAGGTTTAACCGTTATTATAGATCCATGGGTTTGACCAAAGCAAAACATGGTACATTTTCTGTGTAACAATAAAATCCTAGACTACTTTTGTTTATGTAATAGCCTTACCCCTCCAGCAGGTGGTGCCACAGGACGAGGCTGAACTGGTGGTTGACTCAATCTGGGATCACATGGGACGTCATCTTCTATAGAACAAAAAACACACATTTTTTCTATAATTGTATGGTTACTTTGTCTTTTATAACCTATGCATTCAAATGTAGGTTATCGCCGTCTGAATAAACAAAACACATTACCGCTTCTGTTGACGGGGGGAGGGGCGTCACTGGGGATCTTGCTCTTCTCAAACTCCTCATGGTACTTGATCTGCAAACATCCGATTCATCTTGCTTATAATACATGATGTAAATGTTTTGCTTTTGACACTGAAAACATTCAAGGGACTTCCAGCAAGGAAGAAACTTCAGGAATTTAAAATGGCTACTTTAGACCAAAGTGTGTTTCCACTCTTGACCCATGGGACCAGAACTCAGAGTCAAGTTTTGGTTACGCTGACCCATCTATCCAACCAACACTTCCAATCCAGAAAATACACTGTGCAATTTCACTGGTCAGACTGTCCGCCACCCTAAGATAACATTGCTTTGTCCATGATATTTAAGTATGGAACAAAATAAACTAATCTTGCAAACAAAATATGAATGATATCAATGTATTCTAAATAGTATCTGAGGCTTATGGCATTGTCTTTGAATTTGTGGGAGAAGTCTTTATTTTGTAATTTCATTCAAAGTTCCTTTGTGTTGTAGCCCTTGTTTATTTAACCACCTTGTATTTACAAAAATGTTTAGCTTTAAAAAAACTTTAAACTCTGCATAAGTTGAACATACAATGTGATATGATCTGTATTTAAATAAAAATCTAATAACCCATCAAACTACACATTTTCCAACGTTTCTGTACTTTTTTAAGCTTTCATAAGTGTTTCACTGTAGTTCTCTCACTGCACCTTCTGTTTTTATTGTATTTACAGTTTATACTCTGTCAAAAATAGAACCTTCCTGCTGTGAAGCACAAGTACAAGCCACTGCACCACCATTAATTATTTATGTATAATGTGCTTGAAATCTTAACTTGGTCTCCCAAGAAGTAGCCATTGATGACTGAGTTCAGATCAGAATGCATGGCACATGCACCTTTTTGACAAATGTACAGTAGAAAAACCTTCATGTTCATTTTTCATTAGATCAAACTGTGCAGAGGTCAAATACAACGTACAGGAAAGGCCTCATCACAGTCATTCTTCATTTTTTTAACTCTGGGAACTAAGAGCGAGATTAAACCATGCTTTAGATCAATCTTTACCAAGAATATTAATAACCCTCAGTTAACACTGATGCTCTGTTGCACACAGTCGTCGTTAATGTCACTACACTTTTCCAAAACTACAGATCTCAAACCTCTGACATGACTCCTTCTTACCACTGCTCTCCAGAGGGAAATGTGTGTGTGTGTGTTAAAGCGGACATTCTGCTTGTGTCCACAGCCCAGAGACTTTGACCATATAGGGCCGTGGCTCTTCAGTGGACAGGGAGACAGGCCAGAAATGTGTGTGCGTCTTCCAAGAATTCAATTCAAACTGGTTTCCTCACAGGACGAGAACATATCTGATCTTACTGCTTCAATATAATCTAAAAAATCAAACATGACACAACTTTTGTGATATACTGTAAGCTTCATAGTGTGTTCTTACATCACTGATTTGTTCCTGAGTCTTCTTTAGCCTCTGCATCTCAGGAGTGTCGGTCACCACGCTGAAACCTTTGCCTTTGTTCTTTTCAAAATCCTCTTTATAAAGCGCCTGTTTACATAGAATAAAATAAATATAAATGGGAAAGTTCATTTGTACAGCACAGGCATAACAATCAGAAATAGTCACAATACAAAAGAGATAATATACAATCCTTGTATAAACAGCTGAACATAGAGTAGAAGCCTGTCTCACATTCTCTGGAAGACTGTGCTGCTCAGATGTTAAAGGGGAAGTACAGGATATTGAGAACTGGGGTATGGAAACATTTAATGAGTGTTTTCTGTTCTCATTATAATATAAACCAGACCTCGACCCGTACTTTTCAACCAACTCGACTTCCAAATTTTCTCTTTATCTCCCATCACCGAACCAGTGAGCAACTTGGAATTCTCTAAGTAGTTGTATTATTAGGAGCAAAAATGTGCATACCTTGTCTTTCCTAATTATTTATTCAAAACAAGGTTAGGGACACCCAGAGCCCCCAAGACAGTGAGTCAGTGAGCTGCTATGAGGAATATGCCGTCTGTGAGGAAGCGTGAGTGCCGGGACTTTTATGGTTATAACGCTGAACAGAGTTGGCCTCAGACTGAAAGGCAAAGGGCTACAAGCTAGAACTGAAATATAATCCTTCTGTATGAAAAAGCAGGTACACTTAAACTATATTCACCATAAATGACATTAGAGGCTCTGCTTAGGTTGTAATTGACACTCCACTGACCAACATTTCTTGGATGGGTCAAATGCAGATAATAGATTTCCTTAGTTTACCTTAAGGCTGGGATACCTTACTTTCAAACCACCACAAATTTCACTATACAATAAAAGCCCTGTATTCCAATATCTTGGTTTGATCAATAGTTTTCACATGCATGTATTTTTGGCCTCTGTGTCATCCTGAGATTGGCTTTTTTGGACTAGATTGATTTCAGCCAATCAGGACTCAGCCCAAAGCGTCAACAAGGAACTCACAGTCACAGGACACTTTATTACAAATATACAAAAGATAATGTGTTTTCTAATATGATGACGACAGTATCTTGTGGTATAATATGTTTGCATATTTTTTCTTATACAATTTTTTTCTGTTGGGACAAACAACATGTAGTATTTATGAAACAATAAAGGTACACCAGCTTTAATGTACTTTGTTGCTTCCTGCAAACTTACTTCAGATTGGATGTGCATATCTTGTCACCTCTTTTGTCTGCCTATAATTTATTTCACAGTATTGGGTGAAAAATTTTTTACTCTTACCCTTAATCGTTTTATATTAAGATTGTATTATGTTACAGCCTTTGAGACGTGAAATATATCGGTTTCATGTTTTACTAGGACAAAGATCAGATATTTCCCTAAACATGAATAGCAGGGGCTCAGTATCTAATTTAGATAATCTACACTCAAATAACTCATGTCAATCTTTGGCTTTGTGTGGTTTTAATTAAAGTCAGAGAGAGCTGAGACAGACAGACAGAGAGATAGTAGTGATAGACAGTATCTTTGAATGAGAGGAAACAGGTGACAGGGACGACCATATATGCACGTGTTCCTGACCTGACTGTTCAGCAGGGTCTGTTGCTTGAGCCGCTTGTTTTCGGGGGTGTCCGTCACGATGGTGAAGGAGGATTTGGGGTAATGCCTAAAATAGAAGTACTGACAGGAGTAAATTACTGAGAATTTCCATGGATTACCTAGTATGGCTTTTTAGTTCTGTTACTAACAAGGCAACAACCGTCGTATTTAGCCAATTGCACATTTGTTAACTGCCTCAAAGTATGATAAATGAAAGCAAGAAGAATACGGTCCAATGTTGTGGGACATACTTACATTGTGCAATATGGCTTTTTCTCAAAGCCCTTGTAGTTACTCATGCTCAGGGCCATCTTGCATACTTCACAGCTGAAGCATCCCTTATGCCAAAACTAGAGGAGAAATCACATTTTACACATAACTACAAGATAGATAAGGTGCATGTTCGTGACTGACAGAGAACAAGGTCAAGGAGAAATTGATTAGGAGATGCTCAGGGGCTCAAAAGTTGTTAGAAGCCGGTGCTCTTCTGGTGGGTCAAATAAGATATATTCAGGTGAATTAAAACCAGAATTCTTTGCAACCGAGTTCCTTTGACTCATTTTCTATAATGTCAAGCAATGTTTAAATAGAAAGGAACCAGTTGTTGTCAATCATAATGAGAAAAGTATCAACTAATAATAATTCCCGTAAGCATAATAATGTAATAATGACATCTTCAATTGAAGAGGGACCATACAGAATCATTAGTCATTATTACATTCAGCCACACAATAGGATATAGGACTGTATAGTATTTAGATTTTTGCAACAAAGTGAAAGTGAACAAAGCCCTGCAATTTTACACACTTGAATCTCCTAATATAAACCTACCTTATCGAGACAGTTGATTTTTTCTGTTGGATAAACTGGTTTCTTGCATCTTCCACAAGGAGGATTCATTGTGAACCAGTTCCAGAGATAGAAAGTAAGTAGTGCACAATTTATATACAGGAACAAAAAAAGTCCTGGAATAAAGAAATTATGATTAGATCCAGCTGGGAAAGTGCTAATGTAACGGGACAAGAGCCTGCATCTTTGGGGAATGAAATTGAGGATCAGGAGCATCAGGACCACATTCAGAGAGGGAGTGGCTTCGCATGGCTTCAACTTTCTTCAATGTCTTTTTATATGTACAGCCTATAATTTGAGCTCAGTAAACAGCTTTGCATGCATCCACTAGAAACTGTTGTGCATGAAACTGTTGTGCATGTAAACAATAGGGCATGTAAAAGAAGATAACAAGACGACGTTTTTTAGTGGAAGAAAATAATAGTTTTTCCTGCATGCAGTTATGGGTGCTTTGGCGTCATCTCCTGGTGGTGGGTTGAAGGTGAGTTTGAAGTGATAAAAGTTGTAACATAGTAGACGCCGTATATCTATGTACACGTCTAATTCTATAAATTCAATACACTACCTCACTGTAGTCCACTGATAAATCAACACGTGGTAGAATGTCACGTTGCTGATGCTACCGGGACGCTAAGCTAGCAGCCTGATAAACATGCTAACGTTACACCGCTAACGCTAGCTAGGCTGAGCTAACATAATAAATGTAAGGAATTTAAACAACAGTGTTTGACATTATGCTTATTTTCTTTCCCACATAATAATCATTGTGGTAAACATGTCCCGGACACAGTGTAAGTGTAAGATTGAAATTTGATAGTTTCCATGTGTGAGAGTGTCTGGGGGTATAGCTCAGTGGTAGAGCATTTGACTGCAGATCAAGAGGTCCCCGGTTCAAATCCGGGTGCCCCCTCTTTTCTAACTTTTTATCTGTGTTACAATTTCATTTAAATGAATGACACGCGTTACGTTATATTATTTATCCCGTTGTTTGCGAGAGTCTTATACATTGCACTCTGCGTTATTTAATTATGTCGGTAAAATAATGCTTCATGCCACTTATTTTCTGGATCTTGTTTTGTTTAATTTTTTTCCCATGTATTCTCTCTGGACCTTTAATTTAAGTTAATATATTGTATTTAGTTTTATTTAATTATATGAATGCATATTTTATTTATTTTTAAGACCTTGAACATTTTTTGGAGGTGAAATGTAGGTCAGTAGTAAAAAGTCAATTGTTCAAATCCAGAGTTTGGTTTATGAAGACAATCACACAACAGTTTCAGAAATGGGATATTTAGGGTTACCTAACTTTTTTCTTTTATACATTTTACAACAGAAAAAGTTAAATCTTTTGCATAGTTTTAAGAAAGAGCCATGTGAGTCACTGTGTGCTTTGTCCTGAAAGCTGTGTGAGAATCTTCTTTACTTTTCTGTCTGATCTGAATATGTGACAGATGTGAGAACGAGTTTGATCTATGCTATACTTACATTTTAGTTGCATTTTGTGTTGTTTTAAAGTTAGGTACCCCAGCTTATTGAATAAGCCAAATCTACAGGGCATATAGATGGGTCCAGTAACCGACTCAGTTGGAATGATTGTGATTTCAGACAGACTTTTAGGATTATATGGGAATCATTATCAACTAATACAATGCTACAAACACAGTCATTTTTCATCTTTTATTACAAGACAAAACATATCATTCAAAGAAAACTAATTCATTGTATCTATTCAAACAAAAGTAAAAATCACTAGACTAATTATATCATTTAGCAATTTTGATAAATGGGTCCCACTTTCAATGTAAACCAACATTTACTCCCACAACTGAAACATTATCAACAAAACATTATCAACAAATGAAACATTATCAAAAAAAAAAAAAAAACACACATTTCATCTGTACATGGATTTGCAGTATGAAGGCTTTTTTTCTTGACTCATTCCATATTTTGTCCCTGATGATCATTTTTACACACACATTCACACCCATCGCCATATATCTTCTTTTGCTAGGAAATCTGTCATCGACCATTGGAGTTTGTGGAAGTTCCCCTAAGTAATGAAAGTGCAAAGACTTCAGGCAACACTCTCCCACATCCGCGGTTGGAGAGAGCCTTTGTTGGTGGGTGGTTTGGTTTCCCACAGTCATCAACAAAATGTCTCAAAATAAGTTCTTTCAAATCAATGTTATTTTTTCCAGATCCGTTAAAAACATGGTTCGGCTTCGATGAATCCTTCCTTCTCGTGACTTCCAAGTTCAACCTCAGCGTAACTGGACTGGCAGCCCTGGTTTCGGAACTTCATCGAGGGCCAGTAGTTGTTTGTGCGTCGCTGCAAAATATGACATCACATTGAAACGTAAGTAAAGGCAAAATATATCATTGAGATTGTTGTTTTAAACATCACAAATGCAATTAGAGTTACAATTACTTAAATTAGTTTTATTATAATATTATTTATCTCATCAAATATCTACAGGGTTGGTAACATTCATATGGAACAATTGGTTACCATGAAGAAATTTGAGGAAATAAAGGAAAGAACAAAGATTTTAAAATAGATTTATAAAAAAAAAAAAAAAAGTTGGCTTGACTCTTTAGGCTTCTGAACTGAGGCAGACTGAAAAAGTAACTGCTGCGGATTTCTACAGTATGTAAATATCACCATCAAGATAAGATATATTTTATGAATTTATTAATTTTTTACGCTATTAACTGATTATTAACTAATCCAATAGCCTCTTCTTCTTTACACAATATTTCTAACACCTTTTACTATTACAGTCTGCAACAGCTGTGCTCCTTCTAGTACTGTAGACCATAATTATATTTTTATTGACGTCAAACAGGCCTTTTTAACACAAAATAATATTGTTTTATTGATGTCCCTTGTGGCTTATTACTATTTCTAATCCATTTCTGAGGATGGCTTGCAGCTCTGTAGGCAAAACATGTGACCACGGTAATACAACTCACGTTATAGCTGTTCATAAAAAGGCATTTTAGATTTGTTTTCTATTGATACAGTAAATAATTAAGCAGTAGTTTTAGGCTTTATACACACGTGGTTTTTGACTCTCTCGTTCCTACCTGCATGAGGTAGAAGGGCGGAGCCACTGTGGGGTGTGTGTTAATGTAGTAGACAGCCAGCAGAGTCAAAGCCACGACCACGACCAAAGCAGCCACCACTCCCGCGATGATGGCCGTGTTCTCTGATATTCCACTGTTACCTGGAGCATCATCTTCATCTGCAGTGGAAAACACATTTAGTGAATAACTACAGCGTACTATTGTTTTATCCTGTTTAACAAGAACAGGCATCAGTGCTCTCCCGTAGACTAGAAATGACCTCTCCGTGTTATCCGCCAAACTCCTGTTTCCTCTTTTTACGCCTGCCGAATACTTGGCCATCTGGATATATTTGTCATAAAGCCAGACATGAAGCCAGCCATAACTTTCCTTTGAAGAATTAATAATTACTTTTCAATCTGAACATTCATTTAGTAACTCAGGATCAACATAAAAGTTTAAAGATAAATATTATGAGGCGTTCTGGGACAAACATGGCCCATACAAGATTTTATGAACTGATTCTTCTGGCACTCTGTGAAAAACCTATTTTTATGTATTTATTCTTTTGAAATCTTACAACAGGGACTGATAATAAACATACATAAGAACAAAACAAGGCAATTTGCAGAACAGCTTCCTGATGTACCATTGCAATGCTTCTACTTCACAGCAGGACCATTGTTTTGATGTGTTTTTCTAAGATAAAATAAGATAACCTTTATTCCTCCTTCATTGGTGATAGTTCAGTGTTGCAATAAAGACAGCAGGAATAAGAAGAGTACTCCAAACAAGATTAACTACTGTAAATATTAACCTCTAAAGTCCTGTAATGCTATGATTAAACAATTTTATTAAAACAAATATACTTTGCAAATTAGCTCTAGGGGTTTTCTCGCTAACGTTGACAATGACTATTGCTGTGTATTCTATGATCACAGTGTGGGATATTCTGCTGTACTCTTGTGAGAATGATGAGGGAAAGGCTCTTGCCTGTAGTGGATGGATGGTCTTGAAGCCGGGCTGCTTTGGTCGTTGGAGCTGTGGGAGAGGACTCCAGGTGAGAGGCGGTGGTTTCTTCAGATACTGGGTTATAATCTTCACATCTGCCTTTGGACTGATGAAGAAACACACAACTACCATTCAGTCAAAGTATATATATAAAACAATTGAATTACAAAATACTAGTTGATTATGTAGCCTTGTTTTGAATATTATTGACAATCATGGTGATATTAATTTCTTGATATAGTGCCCACCTCTATCCTTAATGCGCTAACATGTGATGGTCAGTGTTAGGAGACCGGGGCATTCATGTATAAGTGATGTCTTACCTCTTCTGGACAGTTAAATTCTATCCACTCTTGTCTATGCCTGTCAATTCCATCTGAGCATCTGAAAAATATAAAAGTATAGTCTCTCACTATTTGGTGTCAATATAATTTGAATAAAATAATGTATTAGCCAAAATAAAGAAAAGTCAATGAACAAATGCTGGAAGGGATAATTTTGCTTTTGTCTGCCGTTGAGGTGACCCAACACAACACTGTACTATATACTGTAATAACTATTGTACAAGAAGTTGTTTTGAACCTTTTACTTTGACACGTTTGTATCTTTCTCCTGGTTTAAAGCCGACACAGGTGACACAGTGACCTTTTCCACTGTTGTAAAATCCTTTTGTGATATTTTACACTTCATTTGGAGCTGATTGGTTGAATGAGTATGAATATTTAAGGCTGTGACCAAAATACACCTGTCAAAACTATTCTCTAGTTCCACGATTGGAACACTCAACCCCCGTGTTTAAACTATTATTCATTGATTATTTTACCTTTGAACAGTGTTGCACCAGCCGCAGCCCGTTGTCGCATTCGACGTCATGCAGAGGTCACAGGTCGTGTGCTGAGAACAGGCTACACACATGAAAGAATTTAATATAACCATAATGACGTTTCATGCAGCTGCACTCACTCACTCACTCGGCAACGGCACAATCTCAACAGCAGATCCATTCACGATGTTTGCCGTTTCTATCTCCACGCGGTGATACTCGTAGATTGTGTTCTGCGTTATACCTACAAGGATAGACAAGCCTCATCACCAGCGCATTTAAAAATAAGATACATTAAGTTTAAGAGATCCTTAATCTGTCTCATCGTGGGGAAATGTCAGTGTTGTGTCACAAGTTACAGAACAGTTGGAATGAGGAGCACAAGGTAAGGGAAGTATAGCACAACTCTCAACAAAATCTCTATCTACAGAAGTATAAACAAGTATATATAAGGTAAACACATGTATACTCTAGTGCAGCAGTCTCCAACCTGTAGCTCGGGAACCACCAGTAGCTCGCCACCCCCTTGCAGGAAGCTCGCCAAAGGATTTAGAAATGAACAAATCAAATCATTTACTTGCCGTAATATTTCAGAATGTATAATTCATTGTCATTTGTTATTATTGTAAATGCACTTACTTTGTGCAACAGTAACAAATATGCAATGATAAATTATTCTTCCCAGTTCCGCTTAAAGGAGTAGCTCTCTGCCTTTATCGTCCTGTGAAAGTAGCTCTCTGGGTGAAAAAGGTTGGAGACACCAGCTCTAGTGCAAAGATATATATACTTGTGCACTAGGGGTTTTTTTTCTTTCAGCAATTTTGACTATAATCGTAACAGAACCTGTGGCCAGGAAAGCGTCAGACAGCCCCACTTTCACTGGATGGTCCGTGGAATTCATCTTCTCCACTAGAATAGGGATCTGGGGAATAAGTTTGGGTTATAACAGCAAGAACAAGAAGCAATTTTCAATCTAAGTATTCTCCTCACCTTTCTGTAGTTAAAAACAATCGTCCCGTTTCTGTGGAGAACAGTCTGGAACGTGAACGCGCCTTCGCTTTCTCTGTCTTTTAGTCTGACTTTATCCCATTGTACCACAAACAGGTTCCCTACAACATAATCAGAGTAAAACTGAAGATTCAAATAAGCTTTAAGTAAAGTATAGTTTTGACTTTACTTTTCACAAAATGCAAGATAAGTATATCTCAGAATTAGCTAAATGTATTCCAAATTTCATTCCATTTTTATTTTATAATAATTTTACTTCCTGGTTGACATCATCAGAGGGTTGTATACTGACCAGACTGGATCCATTTAATGTACAGAGAAAAAATATTTTGACATATAAATGACAATAATGTACTTTGACACATACATACCTTGTGAATATAGTAAATAAGTCTGTACTTCCATACAAACCCTGGTGATTACATTACCCTGTAGCTAAAAAACTATTCTGTGGTTACACGTATGTAATCATGCTAAAATAGATAAACACAAGGTCCTAGATAGGAATAAATATATAACGTAATCTAATGACTCATTTTGTATACCATACAGAATAACTGACCTTGAGACAGAGAAGTTTGTTTACCAGTAAAAGCAAAACCCTAAAATTATTTGATTTCAATGTTGTTGTCATACTATATTGTTACGTCAGGACAAATATAAAAGATGATTATATTGACAAGCGCTATTGTGTAGTTCAGACAATTAAAACACAAAACAATTGATTTTACACTTAATATAAACAAATCTTCATAGTGGTGACCGTCATTACCATTGTCCGAGTATCTCACTGTGGAGTTTGATGAAAAACTGGGGTCAAAATTCGCCATCAGAGGAGCCACATATTGTGTCGCAGTCAGCATCTGATGAATGACCTCTCCCATGAAGATAAAACCTGTATTGTGAATGAGGCATCGTTAATGACACAGTTGATTTCAGAAACATCTTCACATTAGAGCAGCCTTACCTCCCGTTGCTATAATAACTTGTCTGATGCTGTGTCCATAAAAGGGGAAATCAAAGGAAAGTGCTACTCTCTGTAAAATAACAAAGAAACGGTCATGTTTGCACAGATTTACCATGTTATAATTCTGTACTGGGGTTACCGCTGCCTGGCGATGTGCGTTGGACAGGATGCCATGGATTCTCACTTGGCTCGCACTCAAATTTACCCACAATTCCTCTGTCCGTCTGTCCGCAGGCCCATAACCCTCCCATCTGTAGTACTTCTGTGTGCCCTCCTAAGAGATGATGACATAGAATTAGTTCTTATTCAAATGTTGGTCAAAAAGCATTCAAATACGTATAGTACCCAATGCAATCTATTTTAAAAGGCAACATTCTAATTCATAGAATTATTAACTGGATGTTAATTATATATTGTATAAAAATATCATACATTAATACAACTCCATAATGCTGCTGGTATATTTTTTTAAGTAGTTAAAAGAATACCCAATTAATTGAGGCCCAAATAATTGTAATCTAAACTTTCTGTTATCGGTTAATTGTATTGATTTGATGAATTGTTTCATTTATTGTGTATATATATATATTTCCTTTTTTTTTTTACAAACTACCACAATTCACACGCTGCTAATACTGTAGTTTAATTTTGTCATCGTGGCCACTAGAGAGCGCTGTTTGGAGCAAAACACAGCACTATGACATGGAGCCTTCACGGTGATGTATCCACAGTTGAAGGTGACAGAGAGCAGTGGTTCTGGGCTCCGGAAAATGGGGCAGTTAAATGCAGCTCTCTCTGCATGCTCCACATACACAGTCTGACCCACTTTCCCTCCTGTTCAAAAGGGGCCGTGGGATTTTGAGGTGACGGGGATCTAACACCCAGATAGACACTCTCAACCATGACTGAGAATCGCACCGCGTACATCTCACAAATCAGCTCAATATTACAACAACCACCAAACCTATCATGCATCTTGTGAATGTTTAATAATGAAGATAAACTACAATTGTTACGGCATACAGTCACTCTCTGCCTCCTGCTTGTATAAACTCAACTGCAACACAGGTCTGGCTTAGACATTGATCAATATAAAATCATGTATATACTTTATTTTGAGCCAAAACAATTGAATTTTATATAATTGTTTTGTTTTCATTTTGCTTGTCTTTATGGCAATGACAAAAGTGTAGGAAAACGTTGAAACAGAAAGAGTAAAAGACAAATCTTCTTAGAAAACCTGTCTTGTTCATACATTTGCGGAGAGCTGATTGGCTGAGTTAGGGCGGTCCTCTCTTTTACACTTTTCTGTCTGGAATCTATGAAAAAATGGAATCTATGGATGTAAGGAATGCCAAAAATAGATGTAAATGTTGAGATAGAAGCAAAATGAAGTGACTTTTGAGAGCGAAAGTGGTTTGAAAGTTAGATACCCCAGCTGTCAAATGCTCCAAAGCATGGTTTTAACTTTCTATATCTCTGGAAACAAACCGATTGTATACCACCTCCAGCAGGTTTCTCGATTGCTTAAAATCTAAATATGTATTTGTATGTAATGCACTTGTTCCCAAACATTTTTGAGACGTGGAAAACACTCACATCACCAGCTGAAACCGATACAAAATTGAAGCTTTGCAGCGTTTGATCACACCGCCACGTCATTCTCATCCAAGTTTATTATATAGACAATCAGACAATCTCAAAATACTCTTTCTATTCTTCTCACATTATTTTTTTTTCACAATATTCTGACCAACGAGGTGATGTTGGATGATTGCCAGAGGCTATCGTCCAACATCACCCATACATCATCCTAACATGCCACGGCACACCGGTTGAAAAACATCGCTCCAGTCTGTTGTCACTCTACTTTATCATTGGCCGTGAATTAAAAGCTTGTACAAAGTTCGATGAGACGCTCAGAATGGAAAAGACAGCACAGCGCAGTCCTCTGGTGGGTGTCCTGCTTAGTCATTGGCGCCGCACACACACACACACACACCAGCTCCACACTACAGAGCCGCGCTAAAACAAACTGTAAGTTGGCAGTTGGAGGCGAAAGTCTGTTTTTAATTTTCAATAAAAAAGAAGAAAGTAACATACAACTTTATTTGGGTTGAGTTCTTTTGGATGATTCCAGTAAATGAGACAAAAATACACACGTTGGATATCACCTGCATGCAATTTGTATATGCTATTCCTGAAGGTACATTTTGGGAATCCACCACATTCATTTCTCCATAGACATTTTGTTTTGGTAGACTATAACAATATATGTGATTTCTTGCATGTATACCTTTGTCCTGTATTTATTCAATTTGTACGTTTAGTCCAACTATTACATAACCAACAACAACCATACACTACACACATAATGAGTACGGCACTATTCATTTCCTTTGCATATGGACTTTAAACATTTGGACTTAAACTTTGGATTTGCTTCATGTATTGATACTTTCCTCTTTCTGATCTCTAAGTTGTGATGTCTTGTCATGCTCTGGAAGGACATCAGTCTAAACATCCTGTAGTATGTTACAAACTGGTCTGATCGAGTAAAAATAAGCCAAATGAATCTCTCAGGAAAACTGATAGAATTGTTGAGTCCGCACTCCTTTAGGCCTTTTAGCATTTTTGGCAAACTTGTTAACAACACAGCACTATAAAAGTTGTTTTCCTCCTTATTTAGAGGTAGAAACGAGAAGATTTTTCATATGGTTTATTCATGGAGGCTGATTCTTTTCCTGAACTATCGTCGTGGTTCAAAAGTTTCATAAAATTCTTGCGTTTGTGAGATGGTCATGTATTTCACTTCAAAAATGTGTGCGGTCTACATCTGGAGCCATATGTTTGTTTTTGTTTTGTTTAGTGGTAGAAACCGCCCTTGTTAAATTAGATCTGCCATTCAAAAGTCTAGTTTCTAATGAAAGTACAAAGAGCATTCAGAATGATAGTTTAACTGTTTTTGCCCCATGTAGTTACATTTTAGACCCAAAACAAGATTGTATAAAAATGCAGCAGTGTCCGTTATTATTTGAGCTTTGACCAATCAGAGCTGGTAAGTAAGTAAGTAAGTAAGTAAGTAAGTTTTTATTTATATACCGCCTTTTCACTGCAGATCTGAGTCTCAAAGCGGTTTACAATTGTTAATTTTGGGCATTTGTCTCTCACTCCACACAGAGATGGGAGCGGGGTCGCCAGTACAGGAGGCACATGCCAGAACTATTGGACATATTTTTAGTGGTAGGGGAAACCGGAGTACCCGGAGGAAACCTACGCAGACACGGGGAGAACATGCAAACTCCACTCAGAAAGGCCCTGGTCCGACCGGGATTCGAACCCAGGACCTTCTTGCTGAGAGGCGAGAGTGCTATCCACTCAGCCACCGTGCCGCCCACTACTGGTCTTCCCCTACTAGTTCCTCTTCCTGCATTTCTTATTATTCTAAAAGTAACACATGCTTAATCCAAAGGAGCCATTTGTATATAACTGGTACAGATCTAGTCTCTGTACCAATTTTGCTCAATCGATTCAGTGACATAATTCACCTCTCATACCAATACAACTAGACCTCTTGCACATTCTGTCATGTTAACAGCTACAAATATACAGATTTTATTTTGAATTTTGTCCTGAAACACCACAATAAAGTAACAGAATGTGATGTGAAAGCAAAAGGATACGTCTGCAGTTTTGTATTTCCCAAAAAACAAAAACTGTTGTGTGGTTTTCTCAATACTAATTTCTCCTACAGGGATCAATAAAGTATCTATCTATCTATCTATCTATCTATCTATCTATCTATCTATCTATCTATCTATCTATCTATCTATCTATCTATCTATCTATCTATCTATCTATCTATCTATCTATCTATCTATCTATCTATCTATCTATCTATCTATCTATCTATCTATCTATCTATCTATCTATCTATCTATCTATCTATCTATCTATCTATCTATAACTGATAACTGATAACTGATAACTGATAACTGATAACTGATAACTGATAACTGATAACTGATAACTGATAACTGATAACTGATAACTGATGAATTGTCAAATGACTATTACACACAGTCCAATCTAATCTTAGAATGATTACAGCTATTCTGTGATGGCCTCAGAGGTTGGATAGGAGATTATTGGTCACTAAACAGCACTATGAAGTCCAAGGAGAGAGGGCACTTTTGCAGCCCACTGTCATGAATCTGTCAAAACCTTTCCAGCACATTGCATTCATCATGACGTATTCTTACCAGTAGTTTGGTGCTATTGACCGACAGCGATCTCGAGTCTGCGCTGCGTGGGTCTCTGTTGCGGGCTCCAGACAGCTGCTCTTCTGACCGCCACAGCGTCCAGCTCATCAAAGCGCCTGAAACAAAACAAGCCTTCAGTTTGGCGATGGAATTCTGTCGTCACATTCACCGAACAATCAATATCCTACTCCAACAGAAAATCATTGCGACGTGAAATTATTTAAACTGGTCATATCGTTCCTGCTTGTTTTTGACAGATGCGTCCACACGTCCCCAGAGATTTACCAAATGTGTGAAAGCCACGTTAAGCTAACAGAGCACACTGCTGCGTAAGCGCCTCAGCCTGATTTAAGACAAAAGTCATGTGCACATCTGTCCTTGATTATCCGCTGTAATTTGGATCATTAACAGTCAAGACGTGTTCGCCGTAAATCAAACACAGATTCCGAGCTCTTCCAATTCTCAATTAAGGAGGACTATGAGAAGTAATAAATAGATATGATTAAGAAAAATATGTTTTATGTGAACCACGCTGGGAGGTGACTTTGATGGAAGCGCTATAAAAGTTTTTGTCCAAAGATTGAACTCGCGGTCCTGCCTTTAATCAAATCCCTTGTTGATAAGCCAAGTAATTAGCCTGTAGGGTCCATGTTGGGCCACGTAGACATCGATTTGACTTCATGCGTTTTGGTTTTATGCCATCTGCTCAACAGATCAAACAGCGACGCAGCCATTGTTAGAGTAAACTCGCCCGCGCGCCGCCACATTTCGGGTTGAACAAGTCACACTCGTAACACTCTGCAGATCTACCATGTTTTATTTAGAGAAACAGACTGATTGATGTGAAAAATGCGATAAATGTTTTATTATAAGCGGCAGTGATGGGATGTTATATAATAGTCAAAGCATAATAGAGCTAGTCAGATTATCATGATTCGTCGATCATTCAAATAAAATGTAATTATATTTTGATCATTGCCAAAGTTGGTCAGTAGTGTGTACTGTAGACTCCAAACACATGGCTTTGATCAGACAGACAATGACATTATTGAGTATATTCTTTTTGGAATCCTACATCTGCATCGTTTATGTATCCCCAGATGATAGATCAACATGTGCATATCGTTTTTGACCTTTTCTGAAGTTTAAAGTGGACTTATTCTTAACTAACAATACAATTATGAAGGCTTTCAAGCAAATTAGCCAATCAGAGGGCAGTATGTGTCTGATTTGGGTTCTTACGTGAAGTTCAACATAAAAAGAGCAATACATTCATCTAGGTGCAAAAGTAAGTACCAGTAGTCATACTTAACACAGAGTACGGCTTCTTGCTAAGTCCCAGCAGGTGGTTTGCATCTGTAATCTTTGTTTCGGAGCAATATGTGAGACACAGGCAGGAAGATTATGGAAACAACAGCTGGATTGTAATTACTTTATTAACCCACTAAGAGCCTATACAATCTCTTTATTTTAAATCTACGCAAATGCATATTTTATCAAGATTATTTCTTGATTTTGTCTTTCAATAAACCTTCATTCAAAACAGTACAACATTTTGGAATATCATAATAAATAATAAAAGTGGCTAGTAGTTGAAAAAGTCGGAATGATTTTCTTCTTCTCTGTTTATCCGTTGATTGCGCAGCTGCTGAAATACAATGGTCCTTTCTTGATTCAATATATGTTAAGTAATACTAAAGCAATTCACATTCACATCCTTATTTATTATGCAGTGCTCTAAGACTTTTGCTCACCCTTGTATTGCAACTTAAACACAAACACATTTTCTTTTGCCACGCTAGGTATTGGTCGGCCACTGTCTGTCTGTGTGGGTGGGTTCAACTAATCCAGATGAACGAAAGGGAAGATGGCTTTAGTTACCGTTTTAAGACAAAATACTTGCACAGAGCATAAATGAATACCGTGTTTTTACTCCACTGTCGCTGTTGCAAAAAATGTATTAAAATGACTACATTTGAATTTCCTGCATTGCCTGAAACCAAATTAAAATAGGCAATTGAAACGAAACAAGATGGAACGGCTTCGATATTATGTGATACAGAAACTAAACCACAGAACACTCCACTACTTAAAGTGGCATTTGTTAATCGGTACAAATTCACAACAGCAGAGATGAAGCAGCCGGTCTGATGGAGCTCCATACTTGCAGAGAGCGGTGCAAACATCCTGTTGACTTTGACGGGAGCCCAATTTTTAAATAATTACAAATGCGTAACAAATTCTCAGCGCGAAGCCTCCGCACGTGGAAAAGCTTCTGACAGGATTCTAAAAATGAAGACTGAGCATAAATCTGTCAGATATTGTGCCAGAGACATTGTGGGAGCGCTGACCTAAAGGAGCAACCTGTGATCTCAGTTTGACTCTGAAATCAAAACAAAGTTGAATAGATACCACCACAATAAAGCCCCTTACTGTTGACGGATCCCCGGGCGCTAATATTAAATCACACTTAACATTGAATATCTCTTTTTAAATCAAGACCAAAACACACACACGTATATAATTAAGTTGTAATAATATTGGCTTTCTGGAAAAACTTGTAGGGGCCCACCTCTGATTTCCCAGACCCTACTTTGGAAAGCCCTTTTTTGGATTGAGTCATTTTTAGTTCACCCATTGTTTAAAAGTGAACAAAGCCTCAGATTGTCCCCTGTCCTTAAGGTAAAGCCTCCATGTTATTACTTTGCTTGAATACATATGGTTTTAATCACAGATACAGATCAGACATAACACAACAATATCTTATAACTTGATTAATTACGGTACAGTGTTTACAAGTATTTCAGAGAGATGCATATCGTTTTCTTATAAAATCTATGGTAAATCAATGTAAAAGTCTTGCCTGCATTGCACCAACCAGTTTGCAATCTATTGAGCACAGAGAGTCACACAGGATGACGCTTAACTAGGACACAGCAAATTCATCCATTTATAGTAAGTTGTCGGCGCACTGTTCATTCAACCAACTGTTTCTCGGTATGTCCTTATTCTCATTGACGAAAGCTCACCGACTTGTAGATATTAGCTTTCCTTCACCTCTCTTATTGTAGGAATGTGATATTTAATACAAACCAATGTATCAAGTCTGGTTAGAAGATTATGGCAGATGGACATTCAGTATGTCCAGTTTTATGCAGAATAAAGTCTGGGAATGTACATGTGAATTCTTCTGAACGATCTAATATCTGGATACATTTGCACAACTTTGAACTATTATATTGTTGTCTTTGTCTGAATGTACTGGCTGGAAATGTGAGACATGTCATGCAATTGTGATGGCTCATGATATTGTTGGGTGGCACGGTGGCTGAGTGGATAGCACTCTCGCCTCTCAGCAAGAAGGTCCTGGGTTCGAATCCCGGCCGGACCAGGGCCTTTCTGAGTGGAGTTTGCATGTTCTCCCCGTGTCTGCGTAGGTTTCCTCCGGGTACTCCGGTTTCCCCTACCACTAAAAAAATGCCCAATAGTTCTGGCATGCGCCTCCTGTACTGGCCCCGCTCCCATCTATGTGTGGAGTGCGAGACAAATGCCCAAAATTAACAATTGTAAACCGCTTTGAGACTCAGATCTGCAGTGAAAAGGCGGTATATAAATAATAACTTACTTACTTACTTACTTACTATTGTTGAAGTCCCAATTTTGTCTGCTTAAAATGCCATGGGAATCTTTGGATAGATTGTCAGTTTAAAGAAGAAGAAGGACATGTACTGGCATAGCAGTTATGATAATTTTTAGTTGGCACCAGAAATGCAGAAAGAGAGTGAGAGACAAAAATGATGTTATCATTGTGGTCCAGTTCCTTTTGTTTGTGAACCTTTTTATAATATGATCTCACTCTGTGGCCTTTTGTTAGAACTTTGACAACAAATCTCAGAGGGAGTTTCCACAAATAAAGTCTAGTCCAGCGTTGTAAAAGAGGCCTCCAAACGGGAAGTGAACCACCTGCAGAGACCAGGCAGTCGTGTTGTTGGCGCTCCACTAATCATCGCAGAGCCGGGTCAGTGCTGCGGGTGTCGCGGCACCTCGGCCCACTGGTTTTTACTGCGCTGAAATCTGCCTTGAGGCGGCGCTGGCGTGGGAAGAAGCCATTTGGCTCTTTATCCTATAGGAACTGCAGTAACCATAACACAAACACTGATCAGACATTTTAGGCAAGGCAAGGCAAGTTTATCTGTATAGCACAATTCATACACAAGGCAACTCAAAGTGCTGAACAACATAAGATTGCTTTAATTTAGAAGAAGCTTGTCTCATTCTCAGGGAGATAATCCACCTTCTTGTTTTAGATGTTCCTCACTATTGGAAATATGTACGTTCTCAGGTGGACATATGATGGAAAATAACTTTTTAGAGACTTTAACCATGTTACAACTTCCAACACAATACTGTATGGCTGTATTTGCAGTACAATTTTGGGTAAAATTGAAATCTACACCTCCCTCTGGTGGTTGAAGTGGAGAATTGCATGTTCAGATATGTCTAAATAATCCTTTATACATGTTTATCCATATAATTTCTCCTTTAGATATTATTTCACAAACATGAAAACCCGAAGTAAATAGTCTCATTGTTTAAGGACCAAACATAATGCATCAAAATGTAGCATGTTTCTTAATCAGATCTTCCTTTTAACTTGACCTGAAGTTCGTCTCCTAGATTTACATGTACGTTTTATGCCAGACACTGGGGCAGTTCAGGAACACCCCACAAAAGCAAGTAGCCTGGACTCCCCCTCCTTCAGAAAATGTTCCCAGTGCACCTATTGCGTTGTTTACCATAGACATGTTTACTGCCAACTCTTGATGCTAAAAATCTGGTAGCCATTGTGGTAGACGTCTGTAATGTCTAATACCATAGGCTTAACGCCAGTAATGCTATCATTTACGGCTTAACAAAAAAACAACACAAAACAGTTAAATTAAGAAAAAGGCTACTTAGGTCATTCACAAAATCTTGGAGGAGGAACAGACAAATGCCAGGTTACACCAGGTACAGAATCAGATGTTGCACCTGCTTTGTTAGGATGTAACTTTTCTCCATGTTGGCGTGAGTATTCCTGTGAGCTCATGTAATTTGCTTCGTAGCTCTGCCTTAATGAGCCATAGTTTATTGAGAACATGTGTGTGGCCATTTGGCTTTTGGTAATGGTCAGTTCTCAGTTACTTCTCTAACTTAATGCATACTGTAAGTGAATCTACAGTACGGGAAATAAAAGTATTTTCGCTCTTACAAGTACCATTATTATGGCGCTAATCACAATCAATTAGTGGTGACATTATCCAGTGTTTGTGTTGAGGCCAGTGTAGTATTATTTTAGTAGGCTATTAAGTGCTAATTTAACAGTGATAGTGCCTGTTTTATGTCCCCTCAACTAGATTTGGCAACATTTAGAAACATAATGTGTCCTTTCTCCGCAACTTAGCAATTATAACTCATGTAGTTTTGTATTGCACGACAGAGGCTATCGCAGATCACTTGTATTTGTCTCCGATTAGAGCTGATTTAATATTATGATCCAATCAACATTTAAATAGTTCCACCACTTGTAAATCGCAAGTACTTATTTAATTATTATTTAAATTTATACTGCTAATTATTTAAAGGAGCAGTATGTAAAAAATCTGGTCAAAAGTGGTACTGCAATCTCTCCCACTCTCCCTGACTCAGGTTGCCAGATATGCAGACGAATCCAGCTGGGACCATAACAGCTGAATAGACAAGAGTTTTGTCAACAGAAAATCTATAACCAACAACTTTTGCTCAAAGTTGATAGAAATTCTCGTTTTATTCCTTGTTTTGTCATTAATGATTTGAGAATCATCACAAGCAGCCACATATTACGTTACCAGTGAGATTAGCTTGACGCGAATCACAGACTTTCTGATTGGTAAAACGTTGGAGGGCGGGACATCGAAATGAAATAAAAATTTGAATATCTCGGCTAAACTACTATTACCAATTGAAGAAGTAATTGAAAAGAGCATGGTTTATTAATGCCTTTTGACATATTAAGGCCATTTAATGATGACTTGGCATGAAAATCTTACATATTGCTACTTTAATATATATTTTTGTTGAAAACCTGCGTGTGTCACAGAGTGTTTGGACGGATTGAGCTGAAATTTTGAGTGCATTTAGTTGTGATTCCACCATGTGTTGCCAGTGTTTTAGAAGACAAGAGTTTCTCAAAGTCCCTAAAGCTCAACTAATTCTAAACCTGGATGAATGCAAGATTCCACCAACGACACATTATGGATTTATCTTCCTCTTCCGCAGTATTGGTTAGACTGACATCAAATTAGCATTCAAATTCATTCACTGCACTATGTCAGAATCAACACAGTCTACATTGTTTAATCTCCAGCTACAGCTTTTAGACCTTTACTCTTTGCACCACTTTGATTATTCACAAGTCATCGGGCCTGCCCCTCTCATCAGAACTTGTGACAGTGTTTCTGGCCGCCCTCTACACAGCCTGGGCCCCCGATCAGTGGAAGTGGGACCACAGGAGAGGCCAGAGAAACTGGAGCATCTCTGATTGTTGGAGGAGGAGGAGCGGTAGTGTAAGAACGAGGCTGGCTAAAAATACTGTATCTCCAAGGAGAATTAAAATACATGGCGACACACAGAGGTGAAGATTAATACGGCATTTGTGTTTTATGAGAAAATACATATGGGAATGGACTTTGCAGGTAACAAGTGTAAATAATGATAGCTTTATGACAGTCAGAGCATCTCTAAGACTTGTAGAGTATTGTCATTTTGCAAAGGTCAGTTTAGCTCTGACCTGATTGCACCCTTTTTGAATTGAGAAATAATGTTGAAGAGAGTTTTTCTTCCAAGTATTTAAATAATCAATGGTTTGTCTAGAAATGTAAATATCCTCCAGGGGACTTACTATTCCATCCCTTTCAAGAACATATGAAAACCTTTAAGTGTTTTCCTGGCCTGGGTTGAGGAAATGTCTAGGGACCGATCAGTTAAACAAAAATGCATGAAGAATTTTACAGACAAAATACTTTTCAAACATTCTTACAGCTTTGCAGATTTGCAGCCAAAGTTTGAAATACCAAAAACGGCGCACATTTCTTTGTGTCAAACAATTTTTCTATATTTGACAGCTTTACAATAGGACATAGACATGTGTCAACATCATAACTCATGCATACCTGTGGATAAAGTGGGGCTTACCTCCTTGCTCTTGTGCCTGTACTCGTCCCAAATCAACCTGGGAGAGGTAAATGAGGAGGACAGCCCAGACCCCCATGTCCCACTAGTCCAATGTCAAACTTTTAATACAGTTTTTGCCTTCTTTTCACCCTATTTTCCTGCCTCTGCTCCTGCTGCTGTTACTGGACTTGCGGGGCTCCTCACTCCTCCGCTCCCCCCGCCTAACACAGCTCAAATCCTAGGTCTTCTGCTTTTCTCCTTTCCCACTCTCTCTCTCTCTCTCTCCCTCTCTAAGCAGAAGTGAAGTTATATATGCAGAAAATGTGTTTACTCCGGTCTTCCAACATTCGTTTCTCTTTTTCTCACTTGTAAGTTTAAAAAAAAAAAGGTGTATATCATCTGCAGAGTGGAAAAGCACGTCTCCCCCATGTGGACGGAGAATGAACTTAACACAATATTCACACAAGTGATTCTAGGGCAGGAAAGACACACAGCTATTACCTCCAGATATTATCCTACACATTATATAATCAAGGTTTTATACCACGAAACTCTGACAAATGTCTTATATATTATAGTTTGTGATAGAGATATTTGCGTACACAATTAAAAAGCATTGGAATCGTCTGTTTCACGTTTGTGTTTACATTATTTACATCTGAGGTTTATGTTACTCTAATATGTGGCCTTTTGTTCCCCTAGTCTATTGTATTGGAATAGTTATTATAAAGCAATACCTGTTACAGCAATACATTCTGTATCGCAAATATGTATTTAATGATATTGAATTGTGGCCCAAATATTGCAATACTATCGAATCGTCACATCTTTGCCAATTCCCACCCCTAGTAAAATGATTCTTCTATTTCAGTTTTCACTCACTAGTCTAGTCTAGCTTTCGTCACAGATAGATTAGCTTGACTCATTTTGTTTAATTGGAAAACCAGAGCAACCTTGTGAAAACCTCTACCGTCACCAGGACTTCATGGTGACGGTAGAGGACTCCTTATTTCCTTTTTTGATATAAGTGATAACATTCCAATAATAATACTACAAGGACATTTAAACAATTCAGCACAAAATAATCGAGCAACAATTAAAGAGCTATACTCCAAATCAGTGTAGTACCTGCCCTGGATATTGTCAAAACCTCTTGCCAATACATATGTCGGCACAAGATGCTCTTATTTTGTTAATGAATCATGAATTAACTCATTAACTGCCAGCCGTTTTTGATGATTTCACTGATTTTCAAGACCCACAGCATATTGTGTGCTATGACTTTGTGAAATATGAAACCAGATTCTGAAAGACTGGACTGTCTACTTTCATCAGCAAAGTAGACAGTCAATGGGTTAAATTGAGTCTGTTGAACCGTGAGTTATTCACAAATCAATTGTGATCTGACACACAAGATCACAGGGGCTCATTCAGTTTATGTATGCACCTGTATTGTATTTTGCATCATACTGAGTACACAGGGGAGACATGCAAACTCCTCTCAGAAAGGCCCTGTTCTGACTGGGATTTAAAACCCAGGACGTTCTGAGAAATCAGTGCAATTCACAGTATTTAAAAAAAAAATCATGTCAAACACAACCTGTTTCAACTCCAGCATACTCATTTTGTTGATTATCCGTATTAAATGCAAGTTGTCCTCAAAATTACTAGAAAATTAATAGCAAAACAAGCTTGGCATCCTCGTTAGGGCAGTACAATTTTAAACCTCAAAATGAATGTTGCATGTTGACTTGTCTTGTTCCCCGTCAGAGGTGATCCATATGGTTTCCTGGAATGGCACTTGAACACAGATGGTTCATGTTCCCAATTTGATAAGCACTACAAATCCTCTTTTTACTATCTCTCCATCAATACTGTTTGACATTTTGGTTATACAATATTTTGCTTATTAGACAATATTCATGAAATCCCACTCTGACCTTTGCCTCACTGTCCTGAATGTTTTTTTTCCTCTGAGTTTCTGTTTAAAAGCTTGGCACAAGAGGACACAGGGCTGTTTCTCATTATCCTGGGAGTCTTCTGTCTCTTCACAATTGGGAACAGGTTGTAGAGAAGATTATTTTAAACCTTACCAGAAACACAAGTCAAAGTGCTTAGGTCAACACAGAGCTTAATGTCAGGCTCAGGGATGAGGTAGGTGTTGCTTGATAGGGAAATTGTCCTTATCAGCTACTTACAACATAATAAAGCGGAGACAGTGAAGAGTCTGCCGATTAGTACTCCCCTCTGTAAAACTCATGTTGCTGTAATTTATTCAAAATGGGTTCACACAAATACAGTCCTGTCTTGTACGATGTATTGTTGATGTGGATTTAATGCTCAGTATTGTGCAAGCTTGGGTTTTACTCTTGTTTTTGTTTCATCGGGTGGTGAATAATGATGTGTGTATGGAACACAGGGTGTGTTCCATACACAGTTGTTTGATGCAACATAAATGAGAAAGTAAAACAATTAAAGGATTGCAGATACAAGGGTCTACATGTTTTTATTCTGTGTATGCTGGACCCCCTTATGCCTGACTCCCACATCGGTGCAGGTCAGGAGGAAAGTGCTTAAAACCAATGAGCTGATGAACACTGACCTCGGAGCCCTGTGAGCAGCAGTGCGGGTGATGTGGAAGCTTTCTCAATAGGGGCCAGTTTGGCCACCGCCTGCTCTGGTTAGATTGACAGCTGTCGTTGGGATTGTTCCTGTGAACCTGTGCAAACTGGTCTGGTTTTTGGACCGCAGTAGTTAGTAGCCAGTGTACGTTACAAACTGCAGTCAACCAGGTCTAAATACGATCCGCTGAGCTCAGAGTAGAGACCCTGCTCCTCCACCACAAGCCAGCTGAGGGCATCTCTTTGAGGTGACTTAAGATAAGCTAATAGTTTATTGTCAGACTGCAGATGCAGGTCTGAAATTTGATCGTGCAAACACGACATTAACATTATACACAGACACATAGGACCTTTATCAAACATGCTTCCCCTGGGAAGACCAGGACATGCTGTAGGGAGTATGTCTCTCCTTGGCCTGGGAACGTGTGTGACCCTGCCTCAGATTTTGACTTACAAACGGAGCAATACATCTTTGGTCTGTGGTTTCTGCCCTTTTTTGACTTTTTGAACCGGAGTCTTCTTCCATATCGATTGTTTAAAACAGCATCCCCAAAATATACAACAAATACATACAACAAGCTTAATCCTTAACATTTAGTCCAAAGCTACATTTTTTTGTCATACGTCCTATGCAGAAATTATAATTTTTATCAAGAAAAGGCTCTGATTTTCCTGAATATACAGTCATAGCGTTTGACAATGTTTTCCTGTTAACACTTATCACCTAATTTCCAGAGCTCTCTTCCCGTGTCCGTCTGCAAGGCTGTAAATGACTCGACTGTGACCCATTAAATACCTTTCTAGCACTTTTTAATTCATTCTAACCACAGCCTTTTTGTTTAGATTTGCCTTCTTTTTATAGGACTTTTGTTCGAACGGTGTGTACTAGCAATTCCAGATGGAGAACAGGGGCTGATGAGCAGACTAATATAAAGATCAAATTAACCACAGCCATTTTAGTTTTTACACAGCAGATTTATCTCTCAGTGTTTAGTTAGATCCTGCTAAGATCTCCCACCAGGGGTCAAGGGCCGTTTTGTTCATGTTAATTCCAGAAGCCATGGCTGCATTGATAGACTATTAGCAGACGCTAGCGGTCGTTACCACAGGGCAGCATGTTAGGCATTGTTTGGAGACACTTATCTGTTGATGGCACTGATAGACAAGTGACTGGCATCGTGATAGTGTACTGATTATAGGAGTCTGGGATCACAAATCTAATTACTATTAGGCCTGCAAAATGGGCTTGTATGTGTTAACAATTGGCTATAATTGGATCTGATAATTGGATGCCATGGCAAAATAACACAATGTGATAATTTACAGTTTACCTTCCTTATTTATGTATTAAAAAGCATACATGTGTGGAGAAAGGAAAACAGAGGCAGCAGCGATTGCACCTGTAACCCTGTTTATTACGGACTTCTTTCAGATACAACGCTTGTTATATGTTGTGTTTCAATGTGCATCAGAACAGAGACGTCATCATATGAGATATTACTGGCGCATGTTTAAGATATTGATACTAGTAACAATGTGGGTCAGAACAAATACATTCAGTTCTTCAGATTATAATGTTTAGCAGTAATACAGATATAACAGAGGTCCACAGTACAAAATATGGAAGTCAGATTCCACACATGTTTCCCAGGTGTCTATTTCATTTTTAGGCACGGTAAGTTTATAGTAAAATCTGTGCTCAAGTTAATTGCAAACACAAACAGATGATTGAGCCGTTATTGTGGTTCAATAATATTTTTACCAATGGCTTCTATGACACATGCTGATCATCAGTCTGTGCTCACCGATATGCTAGAACTCCAATAATCATGATCAATAACTTCACTTTGGGCTCGTGCTGTACACTCAAAAAGCATAAAACATAATTTACCAAAGTACAGAAAGAACATTTCCAGTTGAATTATTTGCTCATGTAAATCATCTCTTCTTGAATAAACACAAGCATCATGTAAAAAGAGAAGTAAAAGAGGCCAAAACATGTGTGCAATGTAAAAATGTTGTAACTTCTTCCTGTATCATAACATTACATAACATTGCTCTTTTCAGCATGATGATATTTTAACTTAAGGCGGGAATCATAGAGTTCTCACAATGTCTAACAATACACACAAAAATATATACATGGAAAGCATCTTCTATGTTTACTTCATATCTGAAATGTTTCTATTCTTTAGTGAGGAGCATCGCTGGACACAGTTGCTTCAAAATCCAGCCCTTTTTGCGCCTCCTCAGGCACCGTACACTTGAATTTCCTCTCGTCGTGGGATACGTTGCTATATATCTGTCTATATAGCAAAAAAAAAATTTTCAGTAACAAATCAGACCTAAAATACATGATAATGGTAGTTTTCACAGTATGTTTTCATAATATTTGTGCTTCCCTATTACTTTATTCACTAATTGTTCTCATTAAGCAAATTAATCAAAAAGATAGTAAATGCGCAGAATATTCACA